ATAGATCTCTGGCAGCACTTGTTCCAAATCTCACCAGCAAATTCCAGCAGTCAGAAAGGCTGTCCTCTCAATCCATCCGCCGCCTCTCAACCGCAGCCATGGTCAAGGCCAATACGACGGAGAGGCTTGCTCAGCTCAGAGCTCTGATGAAGGAGCACAACGTCCAAGTATACGGTAAAGAGATGCGCCGCACATTTGTATTCGCACATTACAACACAAACTAACGTTTGTCTCTTTGCAGTTGTGCCCTCGGAAGATAGCCACAGCTCCGAATACATTGCCTCCTGCGACGCTCGGCGAGAGTTTATCAGCGGCTTCACTGGCTCCGCCGGCTGCGCAGTCATCACGGAAACGGCCGCGGCCCTTGCGACGGATGGCCGTTACTTCAACCAGGCTGCTCAGCAACTAGATGATAACTGGACGCTGTTGAAGCAGGGCCTCCAGGATGTCCCGACATGGCAAGAGTGGGCCGCTGAGCAATCCGCCGGAGGCAAGACGGTTGCCGTCGACTCGACCTTGATCACGGGCTCTGCAGCAAAGAAGCTCGCAGAGAAAATCCGCAAAAGCGGCGGGTCTGACTTGGTCCCCCTCGACGTCAACTTGGTGGATAAGGTCTGGGGCGGAGAGAGGCCCGCGCAACCTCAGCAGCGCATCACCGTGCTATCTGAGAAATTCGCCGGCAAATCCGTACAGGGCAAGCTATCCGACCTCATTACCGAGCTTGAGAAGAAGAAATCGCCCGGAGTCTTCATTTCGATGCTTGACGAGGTAGCGTGGCTGTTCAACCTGCGCGGCAACGACATCCCTTACAACCCCGTCTTCTTCTCGTACGCGGTCATCACGCCAAAGGGGGCGGCATTGTACGTGGACGAGTCCAAGCTGGATGAGGAGTGCCGTGAGCACTTGGCCAAGTTCGACGTTGCAGTCAAGCCATACGAGACCTTCTTCCGCGATGCCGAGCAGCTTCGCCAGCAGTTCGTGGCCTCTACTCAGGGCCAGGAGAGTGGTAACGCAGGCAGCTTCCTCATGTCTAATAAAGGTTCTTGGGCCCTGAAGAGAGCGCTGGGTGGTGACACGGCAGTTGAAGAGATTCGCAGCCCGATTGGGGATTCCAAAGCAGTCAAGAACGAGACCGAAATGGAGGGAATGCGAGCGTGCCACATCCGAGACGGTGCTGCCCTGATTGAGTATTTCGCATGGCTCGAGGACCAGCTAATCAACAAAAAGGCTGTGCTAGACGAAGTACAGGCTGCCGACAAGTTGGAAGAATTGCGATCCAAGCATGAGCACTTTGTCGGACTATCCTTCCCGACCATCTCATCAACTGGCGCAAAGTGAGTTTACCATTCTCTCCTGTATCCCTTTCGGGATATATCCCTGGCACTGGTCATGTACTAACAAACATGTATAGCGCGGCTGTTATTCATTACGGCCCCGAACGTGGAAATTGCGCCACCATTGACCCAAAGGCCATCTACCTGTGTGATTCAGGGGCGCAGTACTTGGACGGCACAACTGATACGACACGGACGCTGCATTTCGGAGAGCCTACGGAGGCCGAGAGAGAGGCCTACACACTTGTTCTAAAGGGTAATATTGCCTTGGATCTGGCCGTCTTCCCCAAGGGAACGACTGGGTTTGCTCTTGATTCTCTAGCTAGGCAGCATCTCTGGGTAGGTTGACAAACCCTAGCGAGTGCTCCCCCTACTAACTCGTAGCAGAGCACTGGATTAGACTATCGACATGGTACCGGCCACGGGGTTGGGTCTTTCTTGAATGTCCACGAGGGCCCCATTGGCATTGGAACCCGAATCCAGTACACTGAAGTTCCATTGGCACCTGGAAATGTCATATCAAACGAACCAGGATACTATGAGGATGGCCGTTTCGGAATTCGAATCGAGAACATTATCATGGTCAAGGAGGTGAAGACAAGGTATTCCTTTGGCGACAAGCCGTTCCTAGGGTTTGAGCATGTGACCATGGTCCCCTACTGCAGGAACCTGATAGATGAGAGCATGCTCACGGGAGCTGAGAAGGCGTGGTTAAACGCGTCTAACGCAGAAATATTGGACAAGACCAAGAGGTTCTTCGAGGGCGATGCTCTTACGACAGGGTGGTTGACAAGGGAAACCCGGCACATTGAATAGGCGCGTAGTCCTCTCGAAACAGTCAAAAGAAGAGGCGAAGAAGGAAAAAAATTGTAAAAGAAAAAGAGGGGACTTCTCATCTCAGAGGCGTACAAATGCCGCCAAGATGAAGGTTAAGCCAAAGGATGCTACAAACCAGCCGTTTCCTGTGCCATACTTGAAGAGGGGGGTCTTATCCGTGAGAAGCTTGTGAGAGTGAAGAATGCTCGGTAGGCCTAGCCCATATGAGGAGGCGAGCTTGATTGTGTTAAAAAAAGGCATTGTCAAGGAGTGTAGAGCCTAGACACTAGGCGTAGGAGTTGACAGTTCGCGTAAGCACTTACATGATAAAATGCCGCCATCACTCCACCAATGAATACAAGGGTGCGGGAGAAGAGAGAAACGAGGAGACCGGTGCCGAATCCTGAAGGGAGGGTTAACGAGAAATCAATCAATTGGTCCTTTGTTTCGAGAGTGGCGAATAGAGCTGATGGTGTAACTGACCGACAATGCTGCCAGCGGATATCTGCCGGATGATGCGAGGCGAGAGTAATGGCTCTGAAGAGTTGGCTGCGGGCTGACTCGCCGGGGGAGGCGACTTTTGGTTTTGGCGGGAGTCGAAGCGAACGGGGGAATTGGCTGTTGCAAAGGCTCCGTAACAGACGCCGGTGCCGACGCTGCCAATAAGGAGCCTCCTGGAATAGCGGAGAAGGGGAAGTTGCCTTGTAATCATGTTGTTTGAACGAGAACGAACAGTTGGGTTAATTGTGTTTGGTTGGTTGTTGAAGAAGTTTGTATGACTTGTGAGAATCCGAGCTACGTACAAGTAGTCTCTGAGTCCAAGTTAAGTTAAGTAAGTCGGCTTCAACTGGTGGATCAACTGTCAGGACCCAAGTAAGAGCTTACCCTGGCGTATGACGTATGTGCTAAAGGAGGGGCTTTTTTTCTGCGTGGGGTCAGATTCCCAGACAGTTCCTGGATGATAACATAATCGGGATATGAAGCCGCAAAGAATCCAATCATGTTACATGGATTGAGAAGCGCCAGTTTCTGCTCGATTTCGCCATTCTTGTCTCCCAACAGTTGATGCAACTCATGCAACTCGGTACAACTACATACATGCATTTGATCAACTCCATCTTTTTTTGTCGCCTTTAGCATGTGAATTGATTAGTCTTCATGGCCCACTGTCAAAGAGACACCGATAGTTGGATGCTGGACCAGCCTAGGGCTTATGTACTTCTCCTCTTTTTCCCTTTTCGCAACAGAAAAATCCATATCATCACGGCCAGAAAAAAGTGCACAATGTCGTGTCATCTGAAGCTCAACAGATGTACTTGCTCAGAGGTACCTGTAAGCTTGCTTTGCCTCTTGGGGGGGCGCGTTGGCGGGTGGGGCGCTCTGATTCGATGATTCCGTTCCTTTAAAATACCGTAATTGACGTTGTCTTTTTTTCTCTCGCCATGACATGAACGCTGCAACATCTTTCAAACCTCCCAGAAACCCCTCATACAGCGTAGACACAACTTGTTCAAGATGAAGGCCTACATGTACGACAACCTGCCGGTAAGCCCCCCCCCCTAAACCCAAACCCAAACCCAAACCCCAGCCCGGCCGCAGCAGCTCCTGTTAACAGGCTAACGCGGGGGGGGGCATCGCAAAAAAAAAAGGGCGACCAGCGTCTGCCTCACGACTCGGGCCGTGAAGTGACGGCGGATGCGCTGGCCCAGCTGGGCGTGCTGTACCACCACCTGCCGGCGACCAGCGAAGTGGACGTGCTGGCGGCCAACCGCGGCTACAAGAACCGCGACGAGATTGTCGTGTCGCCCGACAAGATGGGCGACGTGTACGAGGACAAGGTCAAGATGTTCTTCAACGAGCACCTGCACGAGGACGAGGAGATTCGCTACATCCGCGGCGGCCAGGGCTACTTTGACGTGCGCAACCAGGGCGACGAGTGGGTGCGCATCCAGCTGGAAAAGGACGACCTCATCATTCTTCCGGCGGGCATCTTTCACCGGTTCACCACTGATGAGTCCAACGTGAGGATTTTCCTTTCTTTCCCACCAACCATCAAAACACCAAAACACCAAAACTAACCTATATAGTATGTGCATGCCATGAGACTCTTCAAGGATGAGCCCAAGTGGACTCCCTTGAACCGTGCTCCGGAGCTGGACGGCAACGACATCCGCAAGGAATATGTCAGCCAGTATCTCAACTAAAAAAAAAAAAAAAAAGTGCCGGTTCGGGGTAGCCGAAAAAAAGAATGAAAGCCAAGTTTGAAAAAAAAAAGCCACATAAAATAAATACTGTAGCACTGGATAGTTTAAGTTAGTATGTTAGCTGTCCGATGAATGAAAACATGAAGCCCATTTACCGAGTCATACCTTTCAAGCATGAAAAAGAATCAAATGTGAAACGTCATCCCAAGTTACTAAAACAAAACTAAAACACTTCACCAAGGCAAAGCTGCCTCGGAGAACGTGGACACGGATTCCTCAACACCATGTCGTTTGGTGGCGACAAGGTCGAAAGCAAACGGCTTAACCGGAGGAACCCCCCAAAAAAGGCTGAACTGACTGAACGACGGACCTGCTCGGATGGAACCTAAGTAATCAATAGCCCTCCTTCTTATAAATACTGAAAACAAGGCTGCATTGCATCTTCGCAATATTTCCCTTCCCAGCTCAACGGCCTCGAGGAAATGACACTTTCGCCCGACGTTCTATGCCTTGTTCCGGCGAGACGAGAAGCGGCTGCTGCAACTGTCAAGAGGCGTAGAACTCGAGACTTCAAAACCTTAGGGGGGAATTTGACTGTTGACTGTTGACTGTTGGACTGTAACAGTCGAAATTCACTAAATAAATCATGGAGAACCGCAGCGAGTCGGGCGAAGCGTCGCGTCCGCGACTGCAGCTACCGGCGAGCTGCGATCCGCCTGCGCTCAACGGGCCGACAAAGCAGCTGGTTTGGATTGTTTGTCCTGTCTTATCCCTATCAAAATAAAAAAGACCTCTCTCGAGATGACTGATTTTCTTCTCGTCCATCCAGATCTTTGGCGGCACCGGTCACATGGGCCGGTCGCTGGTCAAGAGCGCCCTCTCGCACGGCGATCTCGTCTGCTCCGTCGGCCGCGTCTTCGAGTCGCGGCCCGAGGACGTGCAAGGGATTCACGACAACTGCCTGGGCCTGCTGTGCGACGTGCGGTCGCGCGAGTCCGTCAACCGCGTGTTCCGGCAGGTCATGGACCGCTTCGGCCGCGTCGACGTGGTGGCCAACTGCTCGGGCTACGGCGTCATCGGCGCCTGCGAGGACCAGGACGAGCACGACGTGCGCAACCAGTTCGAGACAAACTTCATGGGCACGCTGCACATCATCCACGCCACGCTGCCCTACTTCCGCCGCCAGCAGGCCGGCCGCTACCTCATCTTCAGCTCGACCTCGGGCGCCCTGGGAGTCCCCGGACTAGGCCCTTACTGCGCCTCCAAGTATGCCGTCGAGGGTCTCATCGAGGCGCTGCTGTACGAGACCGACGCCTTCCACGTCAAGGCGACGCTCATCGAGCCCGGCCTGGTGCGCCGCGACGAGCCCGACTCGGACACCAACCCGCTGCCGACCTGGGGCCACTTCTTCATCAAGCCGCCCAGCGAGCCCTACTCGACGTCGACGTCGCCGGCCCTGCACGCGAAGCGCATGGTGCAGTGGCTGGGCGACCGCCAGCCTACCAGCGCCGTGAAGTGCGCCGAGCTGGTCTGGCAGCTGGGCCACTGCTCGTACCCGCCGCTGCGGCTGCTGCTGGGCAGCTACGCCATCGAGAGCATCAGGGACCGCATGCGAAGCATCACCGAGGAGCTCGAGGACTGGAAGCACCTCAACTTTGCGACGGTGCCGGACTCGGACCAGGGCAACGACGAGATGGAGGTGGCTGCTGACTCTTCTGCGGCTGGGTGATGCCTCTCTCTCCCTCTGCCTCTGCCTCTGTCTTTTACACGCTTCTTGTCCCTTTTCTTTTTCTTTGGAGTTTCTGGATTGCAGGTTTTACTTTCACTACTTCGCTTTTGCTTTGCTTTGTTTCTCTAAAAAAAAATAGTCTCGTCTACTATACCTTACCTTTGTATATAATAACCCATCCGTATATACCCTCACACACAACTGCTCGTAGCATATTGGACACCCAAAACAGGCAAACCCAATTTAAACATCTATGGAATTTTAGCACCCGCTCAAAGCAAAAGCAAAATAAGGTCTATAGCTCAAACTCACTAGCGCCGAATGGGGAAATGCTGCTCCAAAAAATCATGCAACGCACGAAACTTTTTTTCCACTTCAGTCCATCCATCTATTCTGTTTTTGCTACTTCCAATGGGATATATAAAATAGAAGGCAACTAACAGAGTGAGAAAAAAAGAAAAGAAAAAAAAAAGAAGAAAGAAAGGAAAAAAAAAGAAGAAAGAAAGGAAAAAAAAAGAAGAAAGAAAGGAAAAAAAAAGAAGAAAAAAAGACAAAAGAATTGAGAGTTTACGTACGAGGGGGGCATAGATGCAACGACTCACCGTAGCAAAATCATCTCTCCGGCCTCGCGTCGTCTTCTCCGGCATCCAGCCCACCGGAGTGCCGCATCTCGGCAACTATGTCGGCGCCCTCAGGCAATGGGTCAACCTGCAGCACGAGGAACAAGCCTCGACTAAGCTCATCTACTCCATCGTCGACCTCCATGCCATCACCGTGCCGCAGCAGCCCGAGACGCTGAGGCAGCGCAAGAGAGAAGTCCTGGCCGCCCTCCTTGCCATTGGCCTGGATCCTGAGCGATGCACCATCTTCTACCAATCTTCCGTTTGTTTTCCCCATCTTCCCCCCCCCCCCTTAGTCTCAAGCCGTTTGCCGCGAATTTCATGAAAATAACCCGTTCTTGCCTGTCAGGTGCCGGCTCACTCCGAGCTCATGTGGATTCTTGCTTGTACCGCATCCGTAGGATATCTGTCGAGGATGACGCAGTGGAAGGTTAGATTAGAAGCTCAAAAAACTGGCCCGCAGACACAAAGTTTCCCTGTTGACATTTGAAAACCCGCCTTCAGAGCAAGCTCAGCCTGTCCTCTTCCTCAACGCTGGAGAACAAATCCGTCGGCTCTAAGCTGAAGCTGGGCTTGTTTTCGTATCCCGTGCTGCAGGCTGCTGACATCCTCGTCCACCGGTAAGTCCTGGCAAATATGTTTCTCTCTCAGATCAGATCAAAAACAGTGGCTGATGCGCTTTTTTTTTTTTTTCACCGCAAAGGGCTACTCATGTGCCCGTCGGCCATGACCAGCAGCAGCACCTGGAGTTTGCGCGTGAATGTGTCACAAACTTCAACCATGCGTATGGAAGCCATCTCGTCCACCCGGAGACCATCGTCTGTATGCTTGATTGCCATGAACCCCCTTTCCCCTTTCCCCTTTCCTCTTACTCAACAGCCAAGCTCACTGAAAGAACAGCCCCCGCCCAGCGCATCATGTCCTTGACGGAACCCACAAGTAAAATGTCAAAGTCTCACGAGGCACAGCGGTCGAGAATCTTAATCACCGATTCGCCACAGGATATTCGCTCCAAGATTGCCACCGCCCTGACAGACTCAACCCCGGGAATCTCCTATGACCCCGCTACACGCCCAGGCATCTCCAACTTGCTGGAAATCTTCTCAGTCTTTGATTCGGAAAGGCGCAGTCCGGCTCAGTTCGCTCAAGCATATGCTGATGCATCACCCAAAATCTTCAAAGAAGCAGTCGCAGATGCACTCGTGACTGGCTTACAAGGCATTCGGGATCGATATCTCGATCTAAGCGCAAACGATTCGTACCTTGACAAGATAGAGCAACACGGTGCACGCAAGGCCCAAGAGAGTGCAAAGGAAACCATGGACATTGTGAAAACTGCAGTTGGGCTGTAAAAAAAAGTCTTTCGTGGGCATCAGCGTCTTCAACTTTTGCACGTCATATTTCCTTGTCCGTTGAGTGTAAGACCACCCTGTATAGTATAGGCATGTATGAGTATGATAGTAGTAAGCGCCAATATTGAGTTGGCCAGCCACATTTGGCATGGAAACATAACATGGGGGTAACATGTGACTGCATATCTATGGTATTGTGTATCTTCTTCTTCTTCTTCTTTTTTTTTTTGCTTCTCTCTCTGCTTCTCTTTCTATCCTGTCACGGAATCATGACCACCTCCAGGCCATTGTCGACTTACGATGCGTATGCAAAGTTGGCACCCCTCGCGGATAACCAGAAATCTCTGACAACCTGGTTTGTCGTTCGAGAGCCTCTAAGACTACAGATGAGTTAGCACAGTCGTAATGCATGAAACCTCATAGTGTAATGTACCTGATGATTTTCTTCACAAAGAGCGACTTCTGCTCTGCAGAAACCTTTTCGCTCGGGAATGAAGGATGGTCCAGCCCGGACTGGAGCCAGTCTTTTGCCATTGGGTACCTGGTCACAAGCTTCCTCAACGGTTCACACAGTCGATCCAGCTCACTACGCAGGGCATTGCCCCCAATGTTTCGCGCCAGGGATTGACCAAGCAATGGTCCTAGAGTATCCATGGCCCTCTGGAAAGTGTCCTGCAGCTCTGCCTCATCTCCTCGCGTGCCGACAAACGCAGTCTATCAATGGGTTAGCGAGATGCGAGATGCCATAATCGATGCATGACAAGGGGGGCTTTCGTGAATTGCGTACCCAAAATTCAGCGGCAGCTGCCTTGGGCAACGGCTCCTTTCCATCCAAAACTTGCAATGTGAAGAGGAAAAAGAACTCGATTGCGTCTGATGGTTGGAGTCCGATAAAGGTTCCAGGGCTCCTCGTCAGCAGCCGGCTCACGAGATCAATGCCGTTCTGCACAAGCTCAGGCTCTGCTCCGGGTTCTGCTCTTACATGTTAATACGGGGTGTTGTCATTTCGAGGTAGAAATTTATGGAGCCTCTTACCGGGAAGCTGTTTCAGCAGCCCAATTACCCAAACAAGGACCTCTGAGAGTATCTTGTGATACTGGCCTATCGTGTGAGGAGAGAGGGAGCTAACAAACGAACACGCCATGCTGACAATAATGCCAATTCTAGGTGTGTCTTTTGAATGTCCCACCAGGAAAGCTACAATGTCATCAGGGGTGAGAACGAACGGCCCCGGCTCGCTTTCGGAGAAGCCGCTGCGAAGAACGCTGCATATCAGCTCTGTCACTTCCGAACTTCCCTTGAATATGTTTTGAATCTCGACGATGATGCCTATAACTTGCTTCTGAAGCTCAACCAGTTTAGGCCTCTGTACCTTTTGCGGAGATATGGCCTCGAGATCAATGGAGAACTCAGGAGGGGACTGCAGACCCTTTCCCATGCTTGCTAGGCACCTCAGGGCCCTCAGAGCAACATGCAAGCCAATGTGCTCTTGAGGAGCGATATCAGGACAGGGCATCTCCATTTGATGCGGTAGTGCTTCATCATTGGTGATATTCACCAGAGTCATGGCTTTTTGCACATCGTCTTGTATGAAAGCAAGCAGCCCTGAACAAGCGGCATATCTTTCGTCGTCTTCTGGATTAGCTTGAGCAATGGACGCAAGAGCACCAACAATCTTCTCACGAGAAATGCAATCAAGTGACGCTGTAGCCACCAGCTTCTGATACTCGGCTAGTAGATTGTCCATTTCGGGATAGAGATGTAACCGACAAGATGAGCAGAGTCGGTGGATGGACTTGGATGCTGGCAAGGCCATTGAGTGATCCGACACCTCTTTGAACAGAAGACTGAGCGCGGTAGGAAGAAGGTGGGTGTTCCTTTCAAAGTATTCCGTGTACTGCTCGATCAGGGTGAGGCAAGTCTGCCTAACTCGGGCTGGTATGTTTTTCTGAGCACTTCGTAGTACCGAAAATAATGGTGACGAAAAGACAGCAGCGAGTGAGCTATCACAGCGCGGGTCTTCTTGACTGCAGTCTGCCAAACCTCCCAGGCAGAATATGGCCGACTCCAATTCCAGCCAGGAGGAGTTCGCCAAGGTGGATAGTATCAATGAGGAAAATGTCTCGACGAGTTTCGGTCCAATTAAGACGTAGACGGCCTGCAAAAAGTCCACCACGTCTTTTCTGGCATCGTTGAACCCAACGCGATCCACCGAATCCCATGAGTGGAATTCATCTGCTGGTGGATAGATGATCTTCTTCCATGCGTGCGACGTTGCCTGAAAGATGTATGGAATCATGATTGTGGTTAGTGAACTTGCCGAGGTTGATTCCATCTCCATATCTGACACGAATTCCGTAAAGGTCGACCAAAACTCAATGGCGGGAACAAAAATCTTGTTCTCAGCAACGGGGTAGCCATCGGCCGCAAGCAGGCCGCATAACCTAGACAGAATATTCCGGTTTTGGTCGTTGTCGTCTTGAATGAGGATTTGTATCCTAGCTTCGCCAAAAGCCAGAAGCACGTATCCGAGCTGCGTTGCTTCAAAATCTCCGTCGCCTTGGATTAGCTGGTCGTAAAGATTATGAAACCACGCCGTATCGAGGACGTTGGAAAGCGCCGTGTAGTGCTGCTCGGTGAGCAGAGAAGGCCAATTGAAGAGCACATCGATAAGTAGTTCTGCGGCTGCATTGTAATAGTCTTCTACCATCAACGCGTTGATGGAGCCTCCAATAAGGGGACGCAGAGAGTCGGCAATGTAACTGTTTCGTGCTGATGTTTTTTGAGCAAAGTTCACCCAGGACTAGAATACAAACATCCATTAGCTTCCCTGCATCGTTTGGTGCGCTGAACCAGACGTGCGGCCACCCACCTGAAGACACCTCAGCGCATCTTGTTTGACCTCCGGAGAAGTGCCATCTCGGTTCATGCACATGGTGATGAGCGTTACAGAATCCGAAGTGTTTGCGAGAACTGAGTCGTATAGCCCGACGCTGGTTCAGGTTAGTGACGCTTGATTATAGCTACCAAGAGAGAGGTGAGTTGCATACTTGCTCGCGGCGTTCAGGTCGATACGAGCAACATCTTCAAGAATGTTGCTGATCACCAAGATGGCCGCATGTAAATGGACTCCCGTAAGGCTTTCTGATATGACGTTAAAGTCCACAGATTCATCGATTGTGCCAGGCTGCCAGGCTCGATTCGATGCTAGGCTAACCAGAAGATGAAATATGTAGCGGCTGCAGAGCCGGTGGAAATACAGAAAGTAGGTGGACAAGGCAGACGAAAGCTTCCGCACGACAAGCGATCCCGTCTTTTGTTGCACGGCCCCTATGTACCATTCCAAGAGCGAGACGAGAAGCTCTGTGGCATCGCTATCGGTAAGAGACGCACTGGTCGAGGTCAGCCATAAAGGTTAGGCCACAACGGACCAAATAGCCAACCCACCTTTCGGTATTCAGCTTCACGATGATGGTGAGCGCGCCGAAAAACTTGACTTTCTCGTCCGGGCGCCCAAGCAGATGGTGGGCGAGCGACCATGCTTGTGGTGAACCTTGTAACCGCGACAACGTTGCCTGTGTTTTGGAAATCGTGCTGGGTGAAGCTGGTTCATAGAGAGAAAGAATCAGCTTTGTCACAATTAGCAGTGATGCTTTCAACGAATACCAACCTTGGCGGGAAGAGGGCTACGAGGACTGACCGATTCAACTTGCTCGATTTCAGAGGGGAGAAGCTCATCTTGCATCGTGACGGATTTCTGGCGAGGCCACACGGAGAAAAGGTCCACACGGTTCACCAGGCCACGATTGGGTAGCTAGCGGCGCGGAAGTATCATGGCACACGGGTTTCTGCGCAAAGATGGCCGAGATTGAATGATATCAACTGGCGCGAAGCTCCGAATCTTGCACGGCAAGCGATTTACCTCCTCGCTATCATAAGCTCCATCATCTAACGTCACATGCTGCCTGGTAAATATTTGCTACCCGGATAAGAAATGTTTACATAATCTGATTAAGCATCTTTTGCCCTGATTCAGATTAGCTGTTTTTGGATTATTATATATATTTTTCTTAAATATAGCTAGTATTTGTATTTGACCTTGGATTAAATATATTTTGCATTATGTAACAATTTGAATTTATTTTACCAAGAATAATGACTTTGAGTTATAACGTCATGTTTAATCTTATTGGTTTTATTTAATCATTTCCTTTCTTTTCTTTATTCTTGTAATTCTATATTCAGTATGTGGTCCCTGGCCTCTTGGTAGAGCACATTTCGTTAATTCTTATTTACACATGTTTGCTAGGCTGTAGTTTAATCTAGCGGGGTGCCCATGTGTGTGTGGACACTAAAATAGGAAAGACTCGCTTTCGTTTGTTGATTACAGCACGTTTACGGCAGCGACATCTCTTCCCGCTGCACCCACCATGTCGTCGATATCCGTAGTGGAATCTTCTGTTCTGCGGCCCTCGAATAACCTCCTCCACCAGCCTGGGGGGTCTAATGGCTTGGAACCGTTGTGCAGCGGGGGGTATACGTCGTTGAAGAAGTACCAAATGTGGCCAATGACGACACCCATAATCTCGTCCCTGGGAATCGTGCCGTGCATAAACAGGCTGAAGGCCATCAGCACCCACGGCAGGTACGGAGCCGTGAAGACGAGCAAGCCTAGGAAGCTCAGTCTGGTGTCGGGGTTACGGCGAGACCAGATGTAAACGAGGGTAGAGGAGAGAGGGTGCCCGAGGAATGGCATCGAAACCAGTGGTGACAGTACAATGAGGCTCGCCATGGCGTAGACAAGCAGCCATGAAAAGTATGCGGCCGATCTGCCCGATGACTCCTCGAGCAGCCGTGCGTAGCGTTGTAGGAAGTATATGTGAAAGAGTAGGTCGAGCGAAAACGGACCAAAGTAGAGGAACGTCGTCAACAGTCGCCAGTACTGCAAGTTGCGTCATCAGTTAGAGAATGCAAGGAATAGTAGTAAATGACACAGAGGCTCGACCAACCTGTGACTTGATAAAGACGGCTCTGAAGCTATAGAATAGCTGAAACGGCGTCACCATGTGGCACTGGACGAGGGCGCTTGTCAAGACAGTCGCTGCCGTCCACCATCGCGTGCACACGGGCATCTCCCAGAACCATGCTTCTAGTGGGAGGCGATCGCCGCCGATGACTTGATCCATGGGAAACGACGTGAATATTCGATGGCCGCAATCGATGTTGAGCTCGTCGGCGATGCGATTGCTGGATGCAAATCAAGAAGGGCTGAGGTGGCCTTTGACAGGCAACATAAGCCGGCTGTACATTAATTATTAAGTTACCTGGCATGCGATGTCATGTTGCACCATTGCCACATCTGTTAGCTGGGATAGAGGCAATTAGTAAGTTGCAGATCCACAGTTGATTAGCCAAATTGATGAGACCACCGTGTTAATATTCCTGCTGCACGTGCGCTGCGTTGCGCCTGTACATCCGGGTATTATTTGTGCCTCGTTGAAACTGCTTCATATCTGATGGTAAAACGATGAAATAAAACCGATAAGAACATTTATATTTATACCATATATATCGCTTCATATACTCAGAACAACAAATCATCTCTTGGTTCATCCTGCACATGGCATACTAAACGACCCTTGCTCGTGGAAGCATTCAACACCCATCCATTTATAGACAATTACTTTCCTAAAGCCGCCTAGCCGCCACTCCATGACTTATATCTGCCAAGATTGGTACAGCGTTATGCGGAGAAGGCAGTTTATACCAGGGATGGGGTCAAACTACCAGGTACCTCCTGGCAGGATTCCAGAACCTGATATTGCCACTGCTTGACCTTGAATAACCTCCAGGTGCCCTTTTTTTCATCAATGACTTGCCATACACCTTACCATGACCCTCCCCTCGTGTATCTGGCACGCTGGTTTTACTCTTCTTCTGCTATTAAGCGACCCTGTGCAGGCTAACTCCAAACCCGCTCCCCAGAGTGCGCCTGGCCAATGCGACGCCCGTACCATCAACTACATCACGCACGCGCTGCCGTCGCTATGCCTCAAGACATCATGGACGGACTCAATACCGGCTCCGACCAAGATTTCATTCACAGGCGACTACTATGACGCCGCCGAGCGTGTTACACAGCCCGCTGTGGAGGAGGAAGCTTCACCATCTGCAGCCACACAAAACGACACGTTGACCAAGACATCCGTCGGCGATACCTTTGCGACGCCCTTCATGTCGTTCGAGGACTGGAAGGAGATGAAGCTCAAGGAGACTGGACAAGACCCTCAAGACTTGCACCCTCGGAACTTGAGCGGGCGCCAGAAAGGCGACCGACCATCCCACGACGTCGAAGAGGGACTGGGAGCAGAAGAAGAAATATCCCTGTTTGATACTTACGGCGATGGAGAAGGGACTCGGACTGGAACCTACACGGACTCGACAAACTCGAATAAGGGCGACGATGATGAGGCTCCTGCGCCCACTACCAGTACCGGGATAGCAGCCACCCGCCGAAACGAAGACGCCGGACGAACCTGCAAGGAGCGCTTCTCATACTCTTCCTTCGACGCGGGCGCCACCGTGTTGAAAGCAGGTCCGCAAGCGAAAAACGCAAAAGCAATCCTGGTGGAAAACAAGGATTCTTACATGCTGCTCGAATGCGCTGCGCAAAACAAATATGTCATCGTCGAGCTTAGCGACGACATCCTCATCGACACAATCGTCATCGCCAATTTTGAATTCTTCTCCAGCATGGTTCGTCATTTCAGGGTCAGCGTGAGTGACCGATATCCTGTGAAAATGGAGAAGTGGAGAGAGATTGGAATATTCGAAGCCGCAAACTCTCGTGACATCCAGGCGTTCCTTGTACAGAACCCTCAGATCTGGGCGAAATACATAAGGCTTGAGTTCATTACACATTATGGAAACGAGTACTACTGCCCGGTTTCGTTACTGCGAGTACATGGCTCGAGAATGCTCGACTCTTGGAAAGATAGTGAGACGGGTCGAGAAGATGACGCTCATGAAGAGGAGGAGGAGGTTGAGGAGGAAGAGGTTCCTTCTGTTCTCGCTGCTACTGTTGTGCCACCACCCGCGGCAGCTGAAACCACTGTCGAGACCAGAAACGACGAGACGACTGTTCCAGCCCCCGTTAGAACCTCTCTGCCGCCATTAGACGAAGACCCCTTCTACCTTTTGACAGCAACATGCGCTGCGTCTCCAACGGTAGCAGCTGATGGAAAACCAGGGAATACAGGCTCCGCAACCGCTAGCGAGGGGGCCAAACTACAGAGTAAAGATGGGGTCTTGGAGTCAGATCCTGCATCTCCAGATTCTCCAAGATCAAATGCTACGCAAGCGCGTGATCCTTCTACTACACCGCCGTTGAAACAGACGGACCCTTCCAAACCGGCTGTCGAGAATGCCCAACAAGTCCCGGTAGAGCCTATAGACTCGTCCACTGGAACAGGCTCTGGGACAGGCTCTGGGACAGGAAAACCTCGCAGCACCTCAAGCGCCTCCGCCGCCACGCCAACCGTGCAGGGAAGCTTCTTCAACTCCATCACCAAGCGCCTGCAGCAGGTCGAGTCCAATCTCACCCTGTCTCTCAAATACGTCGAGGACCAGTCGCGGCTCATGCAGGACGCGCTGCAGAAAACAGAACAGAAGCAAGTATCCAGGCTCACCCGTTTCCTCGGCGATCTCAACAACACCGTTCTCGCCGAGATGCGCAACGTGCGCGAGCAGTACGAACAGATTTGGCAATCCACCGTCCTAGCTCTCGAAAGCCAGCGGGAGCAGTCCGAGCGTGACATTGTCGCCCTGAGCACAAGACTAAATCTGCTGGCCGACGAAGTTGTCTTTCAGAAGCGCATGGCCATCGTCCAGGCCATCCTCCTGCTCTCCTGTTTGTTCCTCGTCATCTTTTCTCGGGGCGTCCCCATTCCGTATCTTGCCGCCCTGCAGGAACAAGCCGCCGGGATTGCATACACTTCCCCGCCGCCGTATTCTGGCCACGGATCTCATGGTTTTTATAAACCTGATCCGGGCGTGAAAGTAGACGAACAGCCGTTGTCGAGCCATCTTCCAGTAGTCAGTGTCTCTTCATTTGAAGCTGCACCAAACGTACCGAGTAAACGAATGACCTTCTCCTCCCTGGAGACGACTGAATCCCACCAGCTGATTCGTGAAGCCGGCCAAAAAGAGCCTCCACGGCGGCATCCCTCTCTTGGAACACCAGGCTCTCCAAATGGTGACAGTTATCCAGACGTACACCACCTAGATCACGAGTCACGCTTTCATCCTCTCCGCCACCCAGCTCCAAACCATCTAAATACGCCCCGAAAGCCCCTTCCTTCTCTCCCTGAACATTTGGTATCGGCTCAGGACTCATAACATAAGGTACCAGGTAGATATTTCTAGTAATAGGTACCAGTTACTTGGTTGGCGGTTGATGCTCTCATGAGCACTTTGTTAGTCTAGTGCTGCTGAGATTTTAGATGTCAGCCTCATGGCAATGATATTAAGCGTTGTTATTTTCTCCTTCAACAAAATGTGTATTGAACTATGAACGGACTCTGTTCTCTGTCTGTCAAACTACGTGTTCTCATCTCACCACGTGAAATCATGGTTATCAACCGATAAATAGCAATTTGCGTTGTGCGTAACGAGAAAAAAAAGCGGGAAAAAACAATCATCACAAATGGAATCAGTAAACTTCAATGTCGCAAAATAGTCGAGAGTCCTTTGCCAATAAGGGGCAAGTTAGTTCGTCATAGCTTCACTCACTGGGTCGCGCTGCCGTAAAGATGCTGAATGGCCGTCTCATAGTCGTACTCCTCAAGGGCTGCAAGACGAGTACCTCGGTCATATTGGGATCGCCGGCGGCGTTGCTCATCACGGAAATGCTGTCCAGCATTGGGCGTGAAAAGTCCTGGAAGGAGTCAGTTTAAAATACCTTGATACAGGCACAGGCGTGTAACTCACCAACATGCTCAGCGTTTTCGCAGCTTCGCTTCATCTTTGACTGGTTGTCAGGTTCGGGAAACGGCTCTTCCTGTCCGGCAAGGTCTGGCATTGGTCCATTAGAGGTATAATAAAGCTAGACTTTGTTAGCTATCATCCCACACAGTGATATTCCAGAGAAAGTCTCGGCAAAAGCTTACCTTGGGGCGGTAGTGCGGAGCCTCCAGCATCACAGAACTGTTTCGAAACTTCTGCACCAAGCAGTCCTTTCCCTGGATAGCTGTACGATTTGTGTCAGCATAACGGGTCACAAGACACTGCTGAGGCCGACTTACTGGCATATGAGATCTCTGCCACCTTGTCGCTTTTGAAGCAGTTCCTATATCAAGTGTCAATGTGCTAGGGAATCAGTAAAATACCAGTGAGGAAGCATACCAGCGTTGGTTTCCGCGAGCATTGACAAACTGGGTGAATGAAGTCAGTACCAGCCCCCACAAAGTACACTCATTGTATTCAAATTGTACTGACATCGATTATATCCAGAGGCTGCAACCAGAAGTTAGTGAATGGTAGAGTCGAATGGGGGAGATGGGACTCACGTCTACAAAGTTAATGAATGCATATCCGACGCTGCTCACGATTGTCAGCACTTGTAAAGCTCGCATGAACCAAAGTCACAATAACTCACTTGCAGTCGTTGGCAAAATCGATGCGAAGGTACATAAAATCGTACTTTCCCCAGCTAGACTCATCAATGATTCTTTTAAGCATGGCTTGGTCTACCTTGTTGGGGATATTACGAAGCATAATCTGCAAGAAAGAAGTCAGCTAGATTTCCGATGTATATGCTGTATGAACTTACCGTAGTGCGGACATCGATGCCATCGCGGATACGATTGATGTCAACGTGGTTATGATGAGTTGTAGTGCTATGATAGGTGGAACGGCTAATTCTCATAGCATTCTGTCGGCGAGCATCGGCTCGCTCAGCAGCACCCGAAAAGGTCCTCGAAGGACTGTAGCTGTTGTGGGCCGTGAGAGCCGGAGAGGGTGGCGTCTGATACAGAGTTCCGAAGATGGGATACTGCGGAGCAAATGGGGTCAATGGGCTCCCCGAGCCTGTCTGCGCCGCCGGGACGAAGGAGTCCAGCATATACGGCACAGCCGGGGTGAATGGTGCTTGGAACATGAAGGGGTACATGGCAATAGGTGCGTTATAGTGTGGATCACCCTGACCGGCTTGAGAGGAGTTGGAGCTCACAGAACCAAACCGTTGGTCTGAATCATCTGGCCTTTTGCTGACAGCCATCTCCTCTACAGCTTCGGTGAGCGCGGCAGCAGAGAAGGCATCGGCGGTGTATGCTGATGCGAAGAGCTGAATACCCTAAGTAGTTTCAAACATTAATATGAATGCTCGTTGCAAGGTCAAGGACAATGACAAACCTCTGTGGAGATACCGCCGCTACACGCTTGTATGACGGGAAAGGCGGCAGTGGTGTCACAAAACTCAGCAACAGCTCTGAAAGAGCCGTTTGGGAAAGTAGACTGCCTGACAAAAGCAAACAGGCGGCCGTGCGATTGCAAGAATCGATGAGCCACTCCCATAGTTTGGACTGGATCAACCATAGCTCCTGGAGGAACCACAACAAAGACCATAATCTGACCTGTGTGAGAGATGCCGGCTGCATAGTTAGCAAATCTATCCAACCGAATCGGATGATAGGGTCCTGACATACCTGCACTCTGTCCCATCTCCATGTGGGTGCCCTGGGACTGGGCAATGTTGCGTGTCGGATTGGCAAAGGCAACTTTCCAGTCTTTATCAGCTTGATGGAGATTCGTCTGAGAGGCACAAGCATCTCTGATGTCTGTAAAGTATACAAAGACACCGCTGCTGTGAGCCTTGAAGCTTCTCGCCCCGTAAGTGGGATTGCCATCTTTTCCTAGATCCTGAACACAAATAGCATTGTCAGTATTCGCCAAGTGAATGAGGAGTTGTTCGCATACTCACCATTAGAAGAGCCTCTACTTCATGCGCAGATACCTGAACCGGCGACGAGATGACAAGGATCCTTGAGAGTCCCATGTCGGTGCTCAAGGCAGCGGAAATGGGGCCCTCTCCATTGGGCAGTCGCACGTAGGTATTGCCGACAAAAGGGCTAAATGCCGATGCCGTGGGCGACAACCTGGTGCCAACACCCTGGATGGAGGTGATGAAGGGATCCTTGTCCAGGTGGGAAACGGTACCGCGAAAGCCACCGGCGGGAAGCCTTGCTGGCGACGTGGCGACAGCAGCCGAACGGGCAAAGCTCTTGAGCAGAGTGGACGACTTTGAGCCGTCATCCGGGGTCATCGAGGTCAATCGAGTGTCAGGCGTTCCCTTGAAGGAATCGGCTCCTCCGCTCGACGACCGAGGAGACGACGGATTGTCGACCTGATGCGCCATTGCAGAGAGTTTCCAAACCAATGCGTGATGATGGCTGCAGATGAGAGATGAGGCCTGGGAGTGAAGTAAGCTTGTGTGTCCTGAATGACGGAAATGGGAGAAGTAAGTAGCTGTGAGTGCTGTGATGCTTCTCCGCCTGACGGAGTGTGCAGCAGTGAAGAGAAAAATGCAGCGTGCGCGCTGTGGAGGAGAAAGTGAAAGTGATAACTTGCTCACGAGTGAGGAGCTCGTGAGATGACCTGCACAAGTTGGGTCGAAACGACGCGCCTGGGCAGTTGCTGCCAAATATGCAGAAGGGAAAATTTCGCGAGCTGTTGCCCTACTTTCCCCGTGCTCTTGCCCTGCCTTCCATCGCGCTGGGCTTTAGGGAAAGGGGCAGCTCGCCCAGAGAGGAAGCAACCGGTTGCCATCTGGCAGCACTGCCGTGTCTCCTGCTCCTGCCTTGCAGCCACCGTGAAAAAGATCGTCATTTCAGTCCATAACAGGCGATTTGGTGCTCGGCATACCGGCTTATAGGGGACGCCAGGACGATGCAGCTGCGCAACTGCCCCTATCGGAAGAGAGATCAAAGCCTGAACTGCCACCTGCCATTACCTATAGCATCCAATCTTGGGAAGGGAAATGCCGTGCCTCCGTTGGGATGTACCTATTCGTAGTAGAAGCTGTCTCATCAGGTACCTGCCACATGGTGGCTTGGAAGGAGTTGCATGGTCAAACGACAAGAGAATCAACAAGAGGGTACCTGTCGTGTTCGGCATGAACGGCAACGAACGCTTGCAGCGCTTTGATTTTGATAACTCATTAGGATCTGGTGCGCCATCGCCCGCAATTAATATAACACTATCCCAGGCTCCCTCAATACTCATAAATACTACAAGACTCCATGCTTGCTTTCCTGTGAACCATACTATAGTAGGTATAAACATTTCCGTTCCTTTCCATGTGCGCCAGTGATATCTCATGTAACGAAATCCCTTTTTATCGGTGATGACAGTTGTTGGGTGAAAATTGGGTGAAACGATGGTATTCTTCTCGGATGCCGCCGCAAAATTTGGTGAATCGAATCGAAGAGCGCAGAATGACGACTGAGTTGAGTACTGGACCCTAGGCTTGTGCTCTCCTTCGTCGGCCTCTGTTTGGACCGTCTGGACGTTGCGCTAATACATCCCTCAGCAGGGGGTCGTCCTTGTTTTTATCAATATGATGAACGCGAACGTGTCTGCAATGGGCGAAAAGTCAATATTGGTTGATCCTTTGTCATCAGTATCCCCTCCCCATATGGAAGCTTAGGGCACTGGAGGGGTTTGCGCCCGCTTTGATTGATGGATGGCAGGGCATGGAAACTCGAACTTGTGTGTGTGTGCGCGCGCGGGAACCTTACCTCTGGAGATTGTCCGGCCGGGGATATTTGTGTTCTCTGTCTGCGCAAAAGGGGCAGACATATCCGGGAGAGTCGTGGACCAGACCATGCCGAATCATCTCATTCTTCCGTTTGAATCCCTTTCCCCCTTCAGCACGAGGACAGCCTTGCACGGGGCAGTAGTGAGGACGGACTGAAGAATGCACATTAGCGTGAGAATTGAGAAGATATTGAGTTTGGAACGGCGGAGCAGTGCACCCGGGATATGTGCAGCTGTAGCTCCCAACCTGGGGGTTAGTTATTCCGTCGATGCTCATGCGATCCGCTACGGAGGCTATGTTGGTGTAGCCCGGTTGGTGGGTGTTGCTGGAGGCGCTGTTGTTTGGATACTCGGCGGGAGAGCGATGCATTGATCCATTGGTCGCGAAGTTGTCGGGGCTGGAGGCGGGAAGGGAGTTGGGAGATGGGAAGCTGCGTTGATACGACTCGCTGGGAGAAATTGGATGCGACGCACGACTGCCGGTTGACATTGACGAGAAGCGTGGGACACCTACGGTAGGGGAGCGAGAAAAGGTTCGCGCATCGCCGGTGTGACGTCCTGGCAAGTCTCTGTTGTCGTTTGGCGTTGGCATGTCCGTCGGGAGGTTGTTGATATCGCCCAGCGTGGTTCGTATTGAAGGCAGGCTCGGGCCGTTCACGCCATCATACTTGGGAGAGTCTATTTGCAAAGGGGGCAACGGCGACAACAGGCTGAGATGCACACCCAGGAGCGGGCTCTTGACTTCGCGTTTGGGGCTGGACACGGCATCGTCATGAATGGAGAGCTGGTAAGTAGAGGCTGACAGATCAACACTGGGCTTATCTTCCCCGGAGAGGTGGCCACCCGCAGCTAAAGCATCGGCGGCAACGGCCCGCAGGGCCGTAGCGGCGCCATCCGGCCGCTGGATAATGTCGGCTTCCGGGAGGTTGGGGTTGGCGTCTCGCGATGGACTCTTTTGCGAGGCATCATCTTCACCATCGGAGAACTCAAAGGAGCCCTCGTCTGCGCCAGGCAATGCCTGGTGGCTAGCAGCTTGAGCTATCTCGGGGTGACTGCCGCCGCCGAGGTAGGCGACAAGCACAGCATCACCAGAGACGGGCCGGATCTTTGGGCGATTAGACTTGGGAAATCCGTCGAGAAGAGGAGGGCTGAAACTGACTTGAGCGCTTGGTATTTCCGGAGGAGGGCTCTCGGTGAGTTCGAGCTTGGGATGCACTGCTTTCATCTGAGGAGTGCCTGGTGAAAGAACCTCATCTGGATCATAGGTGACGGAGTCTAGCTGCATCGAGCGTTCCTGGCATTGACCTTGGTGCGTGCTTTGTCGGTGCGGAGCCGTGTTCATAGTTCAGTTGTCCAAGAAGTCATCGGTCAGCTCTCCATGGCACCCTTGGGCATGCGGGGGCTATGGTAACGTGGTGGTGTGGACGCGAGACACTCTTTTGCGCTGAGCTGACGGGATCGGGACACACGAAGCCCTGCCGCTCCTTTTTTTTTTCCCTCTCTCACACCCACTCTCGTCTTTTTTCCCTCTCTCCTTTCCCTCTTCTCCTTCTCTTGTGTTCCCTTGGTTTCGTCTCTTCTCTCTTTCTTTTTAAAGCAGCCCGCTTGGCTAGAACGACGCGAGTCCAGAGCTGGGGCAGATTGGATGGGGACCGTAAAGTCCCTCTATTGTGTCTCTACGGATCCTTTGTCTCCCGGATATCCTCCCAGCCGTCCCCCTGTGATGGGAATTGCTACCCCCCGCGCCAGCTTATGTATGCGCGCGTTGTGCTTTTGCGCAGGCACGTGAACCTGGCCGGGTATCTTTCTAGACACCAAGCGTGCCTTGATTCAAAGCTACCAGGAGAGGGCGGTTGACTTGTTACGGCAAAGTGAGGCGAGAGGACGCCGAAAAGGCGGAGGAGGGACAATGCGATGCAAGAAATCAATATCAGACAGCCGAAACGACATGCGAAAACGATACGCGAAAGGGGGCCTCGCTCGAGCTGGATCGAATCAAGGGGATAGCAGCGAGCTGTTACTGTAGATGGGCAAAATCTCAGCCGAGAGTTGGACGATGGCGGGGGATGGGCAATTAGGCGGCAAAGTGGTTTTAGCGCATACCAAGAGAGCGAGAGGCCGCATTTGCAGGCAAAAGCAAAGCAACAGACGCAGGTCCGTGATGGCGCGAGCGATTGTCGACACGCTAACCGCCCCGAGAGCAAGTTATGAGAGGGATGTGGTCAGTCAATCCAAGGCGAGCGCGTCGCTACGTGCAGAGCAGAGCAAGGCAAGGCAAGGCAAAGCAGTGCCAAACGGACGAGGCACAAGGCAAGGAGTGAGAGGGGGGAAAGCAGCAGCTGTATGTCGTGGGATGGAGTCCATGGCACAGCTGAGTATCGACGGTGATAGGCCGTGGAGGCAGCGGCTGCGCCATTGGTACGACTGGACGAAGATGCGGACCCCCAGGCGGCACAGCACAGAGAGGAAGAGTCCAGTGTCGAGCAGCTTGCCGTCAGCCCAAGGCCAAGGGTATGGATTTCTGTATGTACAGCCACAGCCACGATGATACTACCGCGCTTGTGTGCATTGACGACCTGACCCAAACGGTCATAGTGCAACTGTCGAGGCATGCCGTTTTGCTGTGCTGTGATAAGGTGAGTGGACTTTTTGCTTCTGTGCCTATATTACCTTGATGGGCGCCAGTGTCAAGGATGCATTTGCCTGGTGCAATTAATTAATTTACCTAGCACACACGCCAGACGGCGGCAGAATGAACGTGGCTTTTTGCTTGGCGTGCCATATCCATGTGATGTAAGTATGAAGAAGATTGGAAGAGAAAAAAAAAAGAAAAAGGAAAAAAAGAATAATTAAAAAATAAAATAAAATAATAAAATCAAAATTGACATGTACACAACCCACAACCACAACCAACCAATGCACCAGACTACCATGTATAAAGGAAAGATAGCCAATCCATCTCCATACAAACAGCACATCTTCCCATCACTACAGCTCGCACGCTTCCCCGTCGCCTTATATTGTTAGCCGTCTCGACCTCGGCTAAAATGCCGCGCCGACCCACGCCGGTACCTTACCGAGTCGCGACTCCAGGAAATCCAGCAGCCGAGGTCTATCTAATCGTGCAGCCTGAACCGGAGTGACATGATCGAGACTAAGAACTGCCACCGGAACGAGTAGATCTAAATCTTCTGCTAGTCTCTTGTATATTTCCAATCTTCTCTCCGTAAACATCCCTTGGGCATCTTGCATTTTTTCCTTCTTCTCTCTCCATTGCATTGTTTCAAAAGTAGGTCATAGAATCATCCATTGCATGTGTAAGTAGCACCAAGCAAGTAAGCACTTGCTCCAAGTCTAAACCAACCTATTTTTTTTACTCCTTCACAATACAATGGCTCAATCCAAGCCTGCCATCTCGCCCTGGGGCGGCGCTGTCGCCGGCGCAACCGGAGCCGTCATAGCAAACGCCCTGGTATATCCTCTCGACATGTAAGTTTTTGCTTTTCCCCGTCCGCGGTCAAACTACTCGTTGCTGATTCGTTTTACGACGACCAGCGTCAAGACGCGCCTGCAGGTCCAGGTGCGCTCCACCGACAAGTCCGACAGCGACGGCGATTCGGTACACTACACCTCGACCTGGGATGCCATCTCACGGATCGTCGCGGATGAGGGCATCCAGGGCCTCTACGCCGGCATGAACGGCTCCCTCGTGGGCGTTGCCTCCACCAACTTTGCCTACTTCTACTGGTACACCGTCGCCAGGACGCTCTACACAAAGTCGGCCGGCCCCTCCGCGGCGCCCTCCACCGCCATCGAGCTCTCCCTAGGTGCCGTTGCGGGTGCTTTGGCACAGCTGTTTACGATCCCCGTGGCCGTTGTGACGACTCGCCAGCAGACCGCTGCCAAGGCGGACAGAAAGGGCCTTCTCGCCACGGCCCAGGAGGTCATCGAGGGACCGGATGGCGTCAGCGGGCTTTGGAGGGGCCTCAAGGCCAGTCTCGTTCTCGTCGTCAACCCAGCCATCACATACGGTGCTTACGAGCGGCTCAAAGGCATCCTCTTCCCGGGGAAGAGCAAGCTGAAGCCTTGGGAGGCTTTCCGTAAGTCATCTATCTAGACATCAAAACACATTTGCCGCGTCTAACAATCCATAGTCCTGGGTGCCATGTCGAAAGCTCTGGCAACGATATGTACCCAGCCCCTGATCGTCGCCAAGGTGGGCCTGCAGTCGAAACCGCCTCCGGAGAGAAAGGGAAAGCCGTTCAAGAGCTTCATCGAGGTCATGCGGTTCATCATCGAGCGCGAAGGTGTCCTTGGCCTCTTCAAGGGAATGGGCCCCCAGATTCTCAAGGGCCTCCTTGTCCAGGGCATTTTGATGATGACAAAAGAAAAGTAAGACCGTTCCAAGTTCTGTCAATGGTTCTAGACCGTATGGCTAATACTTTTGTCTACAGGGTGGAATTACTCTACGTGTTACTGTTGAGATACTTGAAGTCCCTCAGCCTATCCAGGGCGCGGAGCGCCATTGCAGCGTCGACAGCCACAGCCGACATTGCAAAGAATGCCGCGCAAATCACGCCCTTGGTGAAGAGCTGATCCAGTGGTGTTTGCATAAAGGTAATCTGATTTTTGCTTTTTTTTTTTTTTGTATAACTCAACGCTATTTCTATTATATGGCTATAGATACTATAGTACTGTACATGTACACGCTTCATGGCTGTCCTAATCAATGGATATGTATCCCAAATTTCTAACACAGCTATTCTAGTGATAGCTCTGAGTGCACAGGTTCCGAAATCAAAAAAAAAAAACATGTGACGGTTAGACTCCCCAGTCGCCAATTTGGATGGGAGAGTCGCTAAAGACGTCCCCGCAAAGCTCCTGGATCGCTCGGTGTCCCCATAGACTCTCGATGACGAGATATCTCGGTCCGTGACTTGGATTCGTCGGCTCAATGTCGAATTCGGGAGTCTGAATGATGGCCCCAGAGTCTTCCAACCCTCCCCTGGACTCCGCTAGGATCCGTGGCTCCGACTCTGAGGCATCGACAACCGAGATACGGATCATGACAGCTGGCAAGGAGCGTGTGTCGTGATACGGAGCCTCCGACAGAGGAGGCAGACTTCGAATAGATACAACAGCCCGAGTTACCCATGAAGCGCTGATGGGGACCCTCCAGCGTTGTCCTTCTCCTCCCAAAGTGAATGGTGATATAGGTGTTCGTAGTTTTCCTGCTGTATTAGCCGGGATAGGTTCTAGAGTAATTGGCGTTATGGATCCGATCCGTAGTGTAAAGTCGGCCGTCTGCTGCGCTTCAAAGGTTGAGCAAACCAGAGTGTAATCTCCGGCTTCAAGCATATCCAGTTCAGCGATGGCACAGCCTCGACGATACTCTCCCGATGAAACAACTAGGTCCTTCGTTTTGACGGTATTTGCACGCTTTCCTCGCGCCCAGAGCAAATCAACATGGACGTGAACATCTCGGTTACCTGTAGATAACAGGGTGGATATGGGGGTGGCGCGAGGAACCGACAGCTTGTACTGAGGATTCAGAAAATAAGTCGTGCATGATGAATTCCCCCCAGCCGTCCGTCTATTCCAGCAACCGCTTTGTTCTGTAAAGTGCGTCATCTTCTCTTCAGCCTCTTTGACGTGTACTGGCCCATTTGAGAAGATGAAAAACGAGAAAGTGTAGCTGGGCAAAGGCAGTGCCTGCTGGTCAATGACGACAGTGTATGCCTTGTTGGCCCTGCTCTCAATCCGCGCCAGCGTCTGGGGAGAGTCAACATAAGGCCCACAGTATGTCGCTCCGTCGCTGAGCTGGACTCTTTTGCCTTGATGATCAAACACTAGAATGCTCATGTAGCCCAGCTGACTAGCCACGGCAGCTAGAGAGCCAGACTTGTTGCGCGCAATTTCGAGCTCAGGATCTGCAAAATGGCGGCTCAATAAGATCCATACCGTCCCCCCTGTAGGCGAGATGATGGAGAACTGCGGGTTTCGCACCAACGACGCCGCAAAGTCTTTGGTAGGGATGTCCCAAGCAAAATGGCGCTCTTGGCGATGGGAAAACAAGGCTGGGTTCCAGTTGAGATACATGGAATCGAAATGCTGCGCTATGTCCTCAATAGCCAGCCAGATGGTGCCCGCAGAGGGCGAATCAGCATCCTCATCGCTCGCCTCAGACGATGAAGAGTCAAACTTGGTCCCTACGGAGCCGTGGATGGCGGACCACCCTTTTCCTGTCCACGTCTGACCGTGTGACCAAGGATTCTTCACTAGGAATTTGCGGTTTGATGAATCGAGATCCTGCACAGCATAATCATGCTCCCCAACGAGGCCCATTATATCTTCCTCTTCTGTAGAGACGTGGCCTGTACCCAGCGTAATGACAACGTCGCCCATGTCGTAAGCCGTCTTGACCCGATTCCATGCCTCGTCTATGTCAAAGTCCTCCCTGTAAGGTATCATGTGAATAATCTTCTCTCTCCGAGTCTGGAGACGCGAACCCATACCTTTGGAGGAATAATTGCTCGGGTATCCACCCCGTGAGGACCCAAAGATCAGTCCCTGAATTGCTGCCGGGAAAATCATAGCCACCCCGTACTTTGAGGTAGGCTTTCTCGAGCAAAGCTGGCCATATCAACCGAGGATTATGTCGATTGATGACAAAGAGGGCTCGATCTGTGCCCGAAGACGGCAACCTGTCATCTATGACGACTCGTCGAGCACAGCCGTTGAAATTCAGCCGAAATATGTACTTTCCCGAAGGAGAGAGTTTGGGCTGGCCTCTTTCGTGGTCGAATGGGTGCATAATCTTGGAGAGAACCTGGAAGCACCGCCGTTAGGTATAAGTTTGGCTGTCATGGCATGCCCAGGTTACATACTGCGTGTTTTCCAGTCCAGATCCTCGCGGCGGCAGAAAGACTAGCGACGACCGAGCAGTCAGTAGTTATATCTTGCGCCAAGTCGAAGCGCGTGCCTTGGGTCATAAGAATGCCATCTTGGCCGGCAGAGAAGGGGCCGAATAGTTCGTGCGGTCTTCGCCAAGCCGAGAAGTTGGCTATTTGGGTTTCGGAAAGCGGGAATACGGTGTCATCACTGGTCATTTCGTTAGATTAGCATTGATTGTTACCAACTTTTGAACAACCACAACGCCGAGGAGACGTAGAAGCATGGGACGACTCACACAAATGGCTTCGGGTCATCTCCAAGCTGGAATTGTGCGTCTGAAGGATCTTCACCCCAGGGGGGATAGTAGCTTCCGTGAAGCCGTGAAGCGCCCTGCAAGATATTGAAGCCATCCGCATGTGGTGATGCCGACGGCGTTGTCAGCTGGCTCTTGAGCCGTTCGGCGAGTGCGATGAGCTGTTTGCATTTGCGGCGGCGTCGAGATGCTTCCTCTTTACCGATTCCCTTCTCTGCGGCTGCTCGCATGTACAGCTCGGCCGCTTGTATGGCATAGTCCAAGGCATTTTGGCCAGTCGATGTCGCGAGTAGAGACTCTACGTCCTGAGGGGGAGAAATGCATCGTCAGCGGCAATCTTGCAAATACTTAAGAGAGCAAAGCAAAGCTTACTTTTGCCCTCCTCTCCATGCCTTAGGGAAATGGCATCATGGCATCACGGAGCTCTATTGTTAGTGCCGTAGCAGTGACAAGCTGGAGATGTGCTGCTTAAGTGGGTTTAAAAACAACATGCACCTAACGGATATACTTGCATCATAGGTCCAGTGTCCTGGCGATCCCACTGTATGCCACGCCCCCATATTAGCTAACTTATTACTAATAACTGCTGGTGACAATTGTTTGAATCCCTTGTGCCATCAGTAGCCGAGAGTACAAGGACGATACTTGCATGAGTGTTACGATACAGAGAAACAATCAGCTTCAATTAGGTTAAGCCTTGGTAAATATCATATCATTTGCTCTATGGGGGTATTGTTCTAAAACAGCTCGTCAATTTCGTCCCTAAAGTCTGCATGAAGCTGCGACAAGACATAAAAAGGCTTTGTTTGTCGTACTGAGCTCTTTGCCAGCTCCATACGACCGACTGTGGTCTCGCAGCTCTTGTCATTAGAATTGCTAATTGTCACGGCTTGGAGGCCTGAGATTCTCATTTGCTTCTTCTTCTTCTTCACAGCAATTGTTCCTACTTCCCGCTTTCTACGACACGTAATGATTCGCCGCGAGTCTCTCCTCTGAGAAGTTCCCAAGCTCAATTCCTCATCCGAGTCCCAGCAAATCTCGGTTTCACCATCATTCTGCTTTGCCAATTTAACTGATTCATCATCATCTCGGTCAATGGTCCGCTTGGGGCTGGGCAGCACCCATTCACTAATCCCCTCTTCCCATCGCCATCCCGAGAAGATGGTGCTGAACTTTGCATTGGTAGATGCGGTAGCAGGCAGGCTCTCGGCAAAGGTTAGATCGCGAAGATCCTCAGTTTTCTGCGCCAGCATAAATGCAACGTCCTTCTGGAGTCCGTGGCCCAACCAGTCGGGCAGTTTTCGGCGGCTCAAGCTAGAAAAGACATCGGAGAGGATTTCCTGACTTGAAGCCGCGCTGCTGCGCCGGCGGCATTGGATGACGGTGCATAGAAGAACAACTGTATGCTGGTATTGTGTACCATTGTTCGTATTGGCGTCGATTTTGTGAGCCATGTTTTCAAACTCCTCGGCAACTCGTCTTTTATAAGTCGGGCTTGCCAAGTCTGAGTTTACCACTGCAAGGTGGCGTGCAAAAATGAGCAGAAAAGAGGCATTGTCTGGAGGGCTCTTGCGGCTCCTATACCGCGCAATAAGTGAGATGCTGCATTCAAGCACATAGACTAGCCGTCTCCACGCTGCTCTTCTTTGCTCCTGCTCTCCAGGTATAATTTGCGCCTCCAAGGTTAATGCTGCGACCGTCAAACCAGCCGCAACGCGGATGAGGGCTTGTTCGATGGCATAGCAGTCAGTTTCTTTCGGGCGACGGCCTCGGGCGAGAGACCATATAGCTATACACATGAATTCCACAATATGTGGTTTCGCATTTCCAGAAGTTAGGCCTTCGAGGCTAGAAATCCAGAAACTAGAAAAGGGTCGTGTAGAAAGCCAAGATGACGAGAGCAACCCTTTGTTGATCAAGGTAGAGACACACTCAAAAATGGGACCGGGTATTTTCTTTCCTTTATACGGACCCAACAATGCCCAGAGCGATGAAAAATCCTTGATCTCGTTGAGATTAATGGTCCCAGCTCGAAGCTTGGAAATTTGACGCCTATTTATGGAGGCTACCAGCTGAGCAGCCTCTTGATTCCCGTTAAGATGAATGCAGAGTCGTACGAGGATATTGCAGAATTCCGGTCGAAGGAGTCCCTCCAAGATGGCATTGGATAGGAGATATACAGCCTGGGAACGAACTACAAGCCGTAAGGGACGCCATCCACAACTACTTGATCCCAATGCTTCCAACTGATCAAATATATCCGAAGCTGCATCAGACATGTCCCATACTGATTCAACTCCGCTCTCTTTCAATTGTTGCCGGTCCCATGCGTCTATGTCTGCAATGCATGCTGGGACTTTGCGTAAACACATAGCAAGTAGTGATTTGCCACGAGCATGCTTTACTTGGAGGGCCGTTGAGTGTAATAATCGATTCAGCCAATGAAATATTGCTTCGTAGATGCGGTATAGATCGCTTGGAACATGTCGTCGGATAGAATTCAACTCATCGACCAGTTCAGATGGAAGAGAGTCCAGTAAACCGTATTCGATATCGATATTCTTCGCCGGCGTGTCGATATGGTCCCGGATCTTGCGCCAAACAGGAGTGCGGAAGTCGACGAGCTCGGATGTCGGAGACAAGTTGCCCAGTTTCATCGCCCCAAGGGTACGCACTGATCGTCGAGGAGTTGTAGCTGGTTTGTCTGCCGTGGACGCCGCTTTCTTTGGCCTTTGGCCATACGTAGAGCGGACACGCTTTGCTGTCGACTCTTGTCCATCATCTGAAGCGCGCTTGGATCCAGCAGAGGGCGCAGACCGATTCTCTGACATTAATCGTCGAAGGCAAGCCAATCGAGACTGGAGCTGTCGAAGAAGGCGTTGACATCGTGCGGCAGTCCAGAGCTGTGAACTGTCCGACTCTAGACCCCTCAGGCCAACCGACAATCGCGATTTCGTAGCATGGCGTTGAGAGGACGGTGCAGGTCTCGCGGCCTGCGCCAGCGAATCCATAAAGCAATATTATCAGGAGCAACCAAAAAGAAGATGGAAAAGATGTTAATATTTATAGATGAAAAATAAAAAGAAGAAAAAGAAAAAGAAAAAGAAAAAGAAAAAGAAAAACGAAGCAATCGATCGCCTAATAGAATAGCATCATGGACGTGTTTGTGTAGTGATGATTGTTTGATTGTGTACCAAAAAGAGCAGAGGCACAGGCGTCTGTTTACTTTGTTCCATTTCCGCTCTAGCCCACGGCTAAGACCAGCTAGGGTCCATAACTTGTGGGGTACTAACCGCACCGCCATGATTTTCGTAGCCGAATCAAGTACTGCCCATGTACCCCGCAGCTCCGAATTGCCGGACCACGGTCCAAAAACTTTTTTCTTTTTCTTCCGGTGCCGTCCTGCTGGTGACTGACTCTTTTGCAAACCAATTCCTCAAGACGTCCCAGTCATTTCCGCTCAAGATTTAAATGACTGGTCTCTTTATTTGCTCTCCAGTATCTCGTCCTTAACCGTCCCGCTTTCTCAATTCCCCCCCTTGGATGACAATGGCGGCCGAAGCACAAGCTGCGTCTTCCTCTCCAGGTAAAGAGGTTCCGTGTATAAAGTCAACTATAGTTCGACAAGCCAACTAACCACCGACACCCCCCCTGTAGCTAATGCTGTCGACGAGTCTCATGACAACGCTATGTCTGCTCCCGAGAACGCTGTGATTGAAGGGGAGGCGGAGGCGGAGGTCGATCCCGCGGCCGAAGGTAATGATGATCTCTGCGGCCAATGGCGGGTTATAAGTTGCTCGAGTTCTAACATTGCTCATGTATAGCTGTGATTAACATCACGATTGTCCTTCCCGATCCCGAGGCCGAAAAGATGCAGATTATGGTGGGCATATAACCAAGGCTTCATACCATTGCTCACTTCCCATTAATACAGCTTCTAGGTATCAACCCAAGAGCAAGTTCACGAAATTCGACAGTCCATCATCGACCTGCCACAGGCTTTTCAGTACACATGCTTCCACCTCGAGTTCCAAGGCCAGAAAATCAATGACTTCATCCCTTTGGCCGAGATTCCCGACCTTGGCACTGAGCCGGAATTTCGCCTGGTGCCGGACCCATATACCGAGAAAGAAGCTCGCATCCACCTGGTCAGGATTCGAGAGCTGATCGGTGCCGCGGGCAATCGTTCCGATGCCGCACAGGGTATTCTTCCCGGACTGTCGCTGTACGAGTCTGTGACCAAGAATCTGGCGGCCCAGACCGAGGGTAGCGAAGACCAGCCCCTTGCCAAGGACTATGATTTTCAGGCCACTCCCTCCATCACCACCCTCATCCCTGAGCCCATTGAGCCGGCACCCAAGACGGTCAAGATGGTAGCTCTCTCATCATGGAACCCTCCGCCTTGCCACCTGCAACAGCGTGGACACTTGCTCTACATTGTTGTAACCACCAACGAAGGCGAGCAGTTCCAAGTCACTGCTCACGTGTCAGGCTTCTTTGTCAACAAATCCTCCAATGCCAAGTTCGACCCCTTCCCACGACCTGCACCCAAGGGCCAGTCATCGCACTCCCTGTTGAAGCTTATCGAGCTGCTTTCGCCCTCCTTCGCCGCCACTTTCAAAAGCCTCCAGGACCATAACGGCCAAAGGGACCCGTTGGCCACCTTCCAAATCACCAACGCCATCCCTAACTCGCCCTGGGCTCTGCCGTCTCCCAGCTCCACCCTCTGCACACATTCGCCTGATATCACGAGGCCTCAGGAGACATATCTGCTGGCCGGCGTTGATAACACCGACACATTGCGTGACTGGAACGAGGAGTTCCAATCGGCAAAGGAATTACCGAAGGAGTCCGTACAAGACCGGGTATTCCGTGAGCGCTTGACATCAAAGCTCTTCGCAGACTACAACGACGCTGCCGTAAAGGGTGCAGTGTTGATTGCCCATGGAGAGATTGCGCCTCTAAACCCAACAGAGACCAGGGATGCGCAGATTTTCGTCTACAACAACATTTTCTATTCTTTCGGAGCAGACGGCGTTGGCACCTTTACCTCTGAAGGAGGCGACGAGGCCGCTCGTGTCGCCACTGGAAAGGATGTTGCAGGTGTGCAGCTGGTCAACCAGCTGGATATTGATGGCCTGTTCACGCCTGCCACTGTGGTTGTCGACTACCTGGGTAAGCGCATCGTTGGTCAGAGCATTGTTCCGGGCATCTTCAAGCAGCGTGAGCCCGGTGAGCACCAGATTGATTATGGTGCGGTGGATGGCAAGGACGTTGTCGCCATTGACGAGCGATTCACCGCCCCGTTCTCTCAGCTTTCCAAGGCTCTCAAGGTGAAGGACCACCCTGTTTGGGACAAGGATGGCAAGAGATTCGACCTCGAGGCCAGCGTGGAAACTAAGGGTTTGATGGGTACGGACGGTCGCAAATACGTTCTCGACCTTTACCGAATTACGCCTTTCGATGTCGCATGGCGGGAAGAGACGGAAGCCGCAGAGTACCCTCACAGGATGACGGTCCTACGACCGGAGTTGGTGGACTCTTTCGGACGCTACAAGATGAAGCAATGGATTGACTCCGAACTGGCCCGCATTGCCCAACCAAAGTCGGAAGACGCTTCGGAGGAGGCCAAGGAGGAGACCAAGGAGGATACCAAGGAGGAGACCAAGGAGGAGACCGAGGAGGAGACCAAGGAGGAGACCAAGGAAGAGGACAAGGAAGAAGCCAAAGAGGAGGCCAAGGACGAGAATGAAGTTGCGAAAACCGACGCTGCCGAGGCTGAGAAGCAGCAGCCCAACCTGGCTGATTTCAAGTTCGCCCTCAACCCCGACGCATTCAGCGGCCAGACCCCTCGCACTGAGGAAGAAAAGGCCGAGCTCGAAGCCGATGAGCAAGAGGTCAGGGCTGCAGGAGAATACCTGCGCGACCGAGTGATTCCCGAGTTCCTGCGCGAGCTCACTGATTCCGACATTAGCTTCCCCATGGATGGCCAGTCACTTGGTCGCATCCTGCACAAGCGAGGCATCAACATTCGATACCTCGGAAAGATCACGACGCTCGCCGTCAATGATCGACTCCGCTGCCTGCGCGAAATCTGCGTTCAGGACATGGTTGCTCGCGCGTTCAAGCATGTGTCCGCCACCTATCTGCGCTCGCTTCCCGTCCCATTTGCGCCTTCTTGCGTGTCTCATCTCCTGAACTGTCTTCTGGGTCATCGGTTCAACGACAAGCCCACGGCAGACATCGATTCATCCTTCCGGGAGCTGTACCCAGAAGCTGATTTGTCGTTTGAATCAGTCACCCCCGAGACGCTGCGAGAGCAGATTGAGCAGCAGGTCCTGAAGCGCTTCCGTTACCAGCTCGAGGCCAACTGGTTCGATGAATTGCGCCCTGTGCAACTGCTCCGTGATATCTGCATCCGAGCAGGTATTCAGGTGCTGGCAAAGGACTATGCGTTTGAGAGCGGTGCTGTCCCTGCCGAAGCCCCTGTCAGCGCTGCCCAGCCAGAGCAGACGAATGGCCAGACGAACAGCGAGACAAAGAGCAAGAAGAAGAAGAAGGCGGCTAGAGAGAGCTCGCCAACAGCCCCCCCAACCCCTGAGGTGGTTTCTACCTTTACCCCTGACGATGTTCTCAACGTCGTGCCGGTGGTCAAGCACTCGTGCCCCCGAAGCTCTCTCGCGGAGGAGGCCCTAGAGGCAGGACGCATCTCCATCCTTCAGAACCAGAAGAAGCTTGGACAGGAGCTGCTCCTGGAATCTCTGTCCCTTCACGAGCAGATCTACGGCATCCTGCACCCAGAAGTTGCAAAGGTCTACAACAGCCTGTCGATGCTGTATTATCAGCTCGATGACAAGGAAGTCGCCGTTGAGCTGGCAAGGAAGGCCATCATCGTCTCCGAGCGCACTGGCGGCGTTGACTCGGCTGAGACGCTGCTCAACTACTTGAACCTCAGTCTCTTTTTGCACCAGGTTGGCGATAGCAAGTCAGCGCTGGCCTATTCCATCCACGCGCTGAAGCTGTGGAAGATCATCTATGGACCCGGTCACCCAGACTCGATCACGACCATCAACAACGCGGCCGTCATGCTGCAAGGCATTAAGGCTTACCACGAGTCCCGGCTTTGGTTCGAAGAGTCGCTGCGCGTGTGCGACTCCGTCTTTGGCAGACAGTCAATCAACTCGGCCACTCTCCTGTTCCAGCTGGCGCAGGCCCTCGCCCTCGACCACGACTCCAAGGCGGCCGTCAACAGGATGCGCGAGTCGTATAACATCTTCCTCGCCGAGCTGGGTCCGGAAGACAAGAACACCAAGGAGGCCGAAAGCTGGCTGGAGCAGTTGACTCAGAACGCGGTTTCCATTGCCAAGCACGCCAAGGATGTGCAAGCCAGGCGCCTCCGATCGGGCATCAAATTCCCCGTTGCAACAGCCGCTCAGACTGCCGGCGTTGTACCACAGCGTGGAGCGGCGTCTCAGATGGATTCTCGCAGCATCGACGAGCTCCTGAAATTCATCGAGGGCGCCGACGCATCCAAGACTGGTTCCAAGAAGCGACCCGGACGCGGAAACCCCAAGAGACGAGGAGCGACGAAATAAAGAAAGAAAAATCATCGATGAGAGCATGCTATATTGAAAGCAGGCGTGAATTTTGATGTTGATGTATTTAACGAGATGTCATGGTTTTTTTTCATGTCATGAATGGGTTACGGGCATAGGCTTCAAGGACAAAAAGGGATGGGTGTAGCTGAAATGGAATTTCCTCGGGGGCCTACGGGATATAGGTATATATATACTTGTGGCTTTGGGGGAGTCTTGATGAGTTGTATGATATAAGGCAGTTGTTCGGAAGGGGGATATAAAAAAAACGAAGCGGGAAGAAGAAGCAAAAGGACCATGTATATCTACGTACAGCATATAGTTTGGCTTCCAGCTTGGAAGCAGACGTTGAACAAAATACCTCACTCATTAACGTATAATCTTTCATCTCCATCACGAACGTATTTCGAAAGATGAAACTTCAACAGGAGCAGGGCATCACGCTCTCCTTCTCTCTTCAGTCAACAGACAAAAGAAACTTGATACGAGTAAAAACTGTTCAAATACAAACACATGGTGCCAGCAGCATGTGGATTGACAATCATGCTCAGCAAAAACCCTGCACGACTCGATTTTGATACAATGGCCCGCCTATAAAAACCCAGGTATCATCACATCCTCCCACCAACCAAAAAAAAAAAAAACACCAAAAAGCCAAAAGAGTTTCATCAGGACATATTTTGCGCCCCCTCAGGATTTTTTTGCCCAACTCATACGCCGCCATCCCACGTTTTCCCATTGTCCCTTATACCCATTCCATATAGACGTACAGACCAATAATGCAGAGGGGGAAAAAAATACAAACATAAATTCATAAAACAAGGTTTTTGGGGGGTACCTGTTGAAAGATATACCGTTTTCATGAACCGCCCTTCAAGGCGGCGCCAATGGGAACGCCTCTCTCTACCGGAGCGTGGTATGTGCCAATGCTCTGAAACCCCCTAAACGAAATTCTGTCAGTATCAAATTGGGAAGAGGGAGAAATGATGTCAAGATGGGTACTACAGTGCTGTATATGTACGTACTTCATCAAATCAAACCCTTGCTCATCCTCGGGCTCATCCGCAGCATCCGCAGCCTCATGCTGGCCAGACTTCTGCGGTCGAGACGGACTGCTTGGCGGCGACTTGCCGACCGCAGGCGGGCTGCTGCTTTGAGGACGCCCCTCTACAGCAACTCTCGAAGGACTGACGACTTCGTACGGCGGCTTCAACGGCGTGCTGCCAATGTCGGCATACTTCCAAAAGGGCGCCGGCGAGCTGGTCGGCATGTGCTGGCTGGGTCGCTGCGCAGTGCTTGGAGGCGCAAGCTTGGGATGGACTCTTGGCGGCGCCGGCGTAATGAATGATGCGTTATCATCTTGCATGTACGACGACGTCAATGTGGGCGACTGAGGATGGAAGCCAGAAAAAGACGAGTCGCCCGCTGTCGATTTCCTCGCTCGGGGTAACGGGCTTCCGTCTGCAGTCAGGGCCGAGCTCCGGTCCGTCTGTCGACCATATCCGCGATCCGGCGTTGACTGTATGGCGCGGAGGGACGACTGAGGGGGAGGCGATACCAGCGACGATCCTCGCCTCTTTTGCGCAGATGAGGGATCCCGGGCCAGGATATCCTTGGGGCCGTGGGTAATGTAATTGAGCTGGCTCGGTGACGATGGCACTGACGATCCCCGGTGACCACCACGTCCTATCTTGTATGCATTCCTCACCATTTCGTCCCGGGTCTCGGGGACGATGTGCCATTTCATTCCTTTTCCAGGCTCGTCGGTAGACCGGGCGACCTTGTCAAAAGATTTATTAAGCGACAGATTGTGCCGAATTGAATTCTACCACCAAGGTCAGCCAGCGCTCACCAAAACAAACAATACCGATGCAACCAAGCTACTCACCTGCCAACCTGCCGCATGCTGGTGGCGATAATAGGAATAACTATTCATAATGAAGTTATAGATGCCGTTTAGGTTCAGCTTGCCATCGGGGGCATTCAGAATGGCCTGCGTTATCATCTGGGCATAGCTGTACTGGGGCTTGATGTGCTGGTTGTCGTCCAGACTAAGGTCTACACCACTGGCTCCAAGAAGGCCCCCCGGAGTGCTCGCCGCAACGGGAGACTTGACAATCGTGGCCGCGCTATGGTCCTGCGATGACGTCGGCGTCCCTGGTCGCTTTCGATCTACTTTGGCCGGCGTGCCGGGCCCGTACTGGCGAGGCTGCGCAGCCTTTGGTGCATCCACGCCCCGTCCGCACCGCTGGAGAAAGGTGGGATGGACGTGAAGCGCACTCAGCTCTGAAGGCAGCACAAACATCATCTCGACGTTGCCAATCTCGACCACCTCCCCGCTGGTCAGAGGATGCGACGTCTGCGGCTTGATCATCTGGCCATCCACCTTGGCGCCGTTGCGGCCCTTGACATAGAGCATCCAGATCTCGTCCTTGGAGTTGAAGGAGATGGTGGCATGCTCGCGCGACACCATCTTGCCGGGACCGAGGTCGATGTGCACCGCATTCTCGCTGCCGGCCGGCCCTGATCCGCCGTGGGAGGGTTCCGGCGCGCGCCCGATGTTGACGTTGAGCTTGGTGATGTAGTAGGTCCAGTCCTGCGCCGCAATCTTTGCATATGCCTTGACGCCGTCGCCGTTGGCCTCGTGGATGGCGTTGGAATGGTCCTTGCTGGCCTGGACGGGCTGCGATCGGAGCTGCTGCGTCACCTGCGCCACCAACTGGTCGTCATCGGCTCTGGGCGACGACGAGGCTTCGGGTTCGGGTTCGGGTTCGGGCACCTGCGACTGCGACGGAGCGCCGGCCGGGACGGAGTCGGGCTGGTCTGGCGAGGACGCTCTCTTGCGCCGCTTGGCGGGACGGCTGGGCGACGAGCTCTTGAGGTCTGCGGCGATTTCCTTGTCCTTGCGAAGGTCGCGCCGCCCGCGCTGGGAGCGCTTGCCCGATGGCGGCATCGTCGGTGTGGTTATTATATATCGTGTATCGTGTCCGTTGAGGCGAAGGTTGGATGGTTGGATGGAGGGGGAGGGTCGTTCGCTGCGGAACTCGATGCTGCGGAGATCGATCTTCTTAGCCGGAGTATTTAGAATAATAATTTTTTTTTTGCTTCTTCTTTTTTTTTCTGCCTTGCTTGATGCTCTCGCTTTCAACAGCCAGCTGGTGGTCGGGCGGTCTGGAGGCGGCGCATGAAGGGCCACAGCCTGCGGTCAAGTTTGTGCGCCCCAGGCTGGCATTTAAAGGGAAAAGAAAAAAAAAATGCGTGCAAAGAGGCAATGATTCAATCGAAAAGTAAAGCTGCCATATTGTCTTATGGCTTGTTCAAACACAATCGCGTTCGCGTCGGGCGACCCACCACTTTAGATGTGGGAACTCTAAAGTGGCGGGAGGTACCTGGGTACATGTACATGCGAGGCTGGTATTTTCGCTAAGTTTCAAGACTCGATGCAGGGCGGCGCGGGCAGACTCTTCTTCAGCGGTTACCTGGGGTACCGGCAGGATGGGGTACTTGTACTGTAAGCAAGGTATACGAGTACAGTACTCCGTACCAGGTAGTAGGAGGCAGTGCGTAAGGTACCTTAAGGCTTCAACGTTCTTTTCGGGGCACGAGACATGCGTGACTGGAATTCTCTCATGCTAGTCTACAGTAAGAGAAACCTTGAGAATCGCTGCCGATTCTCCCTTGAGACCAAGTACCGTTTGGTACAAGCTACAAGTTGGTGTGCTACCGATTGATGTAGAACCCAAAGGGGACGAGTAAAACAAAGACAAAAAAAAGGGTCGAGCTTCTGCAGCGCATGTGCTCGAGTACATTCAAAGGACATGCAGGCACAAACAACGCCGCCGCCAAAACGCATCCGACACTTGTACCCGCGCTGTACCTTGTTCCTTGTACTCGTACTGCTCTGCTCTGCATGTATCATCTGTCCTGTCCAGGGATCTGATCTGCCTTTGACTCGGCCAAAACACAGGCCACACCACGTCAGACAAGACCACACCAGACCAGGTAGCTCGAGCTCTACCTTGCCGGCGCCTTATTAGCAGAGCATGCCATCATGCGCAGTCCTTACATGCATATCATCCTTGCTGCTTTAGCGCCGGGCCGATGCTCTGGCCCGGAACATTGCTTTTCCCGTCCGCAAAGCCTTACACCGTGCGCGTATTGGCCGAGCCAAAGTGGTGGGATTTCTGAACTCTGGCAAGCCGATTTCTTTTAAACATTTTGGACGTGTTTTTTTTACAACCTTTTTTTCCAGCGCCAAGAAAACAACGTCAGCATCAGCAGTGCATTTTGCCTGCTACAATCGCTTAGGACGCCGCTGAAGGAAGAGGCGATCCATCCATCGCCTGGCTAAATTATATCAAAAGCCTCGTCTCCAACAGCAGACACCAACGCTCTCAACACTCGCTTGGCCCCCTCGACGATGCTCCTGAGCCCATCGGCTTCGATCGCGATACATCATGGCTAGCGAGCAGGTTTATGGCGTCACGCCGCCAATCTCCGTCACTCTCCCCACAGAGGCGGAGAAGCGTGCCAGCGACGCCCTCATCGAAGAACTCCGGCGCCAGAAAACATTCGAGAGCCCGTCAGACACCCAGAAAAGGCATGTCGGACGCGCGTGGCCCGCATACCGTGATGCTTCCAAACTGACCGGCCGAGCCATCTAGATTTACGGTTCTCGACTCGCTGCAAGAGATTTGCAACGAATTCGTCCGAAAGGTTGCCAGGGAAAAGGAGCCCAAGAATGAAATGCTCATCAAAAACGCCAGGGGCAAGGTGTTCACGTACGGCAGCTTTCGCCTTGGCGTCTTTGGGCCTGGCTCGGATATCGACACGCTCATCGTCGCGCCAAAATACGTCACTCGAGAGGACTACTTCAAATACTTTCCCGACCTGCTCGTCTCAATGGCGCCCGCGGGAGCCATCACCGATCTAACCGTCGTCACGGACGCTTTCGTGCCCATTATTAAATTCGAGTACTCCGACATCAGCATTGATCTAATCTTCTCTAGAATTATCCAAAAGCAAATCTCCCCAGACTTCGATAATCTCAAAGACTCTAGCCTGTTGCGCGGTCTAGACGAAGCGGAGCTACGATCCTTGAATGGCACCAGAGTGACGGACGAGATTCTGGCTTTAGTCCCCGAAGAGAGTACATTCAAGCTTGCCCTGCGAGCCATCAAGCTGTGGGCGCAACGCCGCGCCGTCTATGCGAACATTATGGGTTTTCCTGGAGGTGTTGCTTGGGCGATGCTTGTTGCCCGTGTCTGCCAGCTCTACCCCAAGGCTGCCACGTCTGTCATAGTCAACAAGTTCTTCTTGGTCATCGGCCAGTGGCGATGGCCGCAACCCGTGCTTCTCAAGCCCATAGGGAGCGGTCCTCTTCCAGTTCGCGTCTGGAATCCCAAGGTACGTATTTGCAAGACTGTCCTCGGTCATGGCTGGATATATGCTGAGCCGCCTGCTGCTCACTAGGTCTATAAAGGCGACTCGTTCCACCTGATGCCCGTCATTACACCGGCCTATCCTTCGATGTGTGCGACATTCAACATTACTCGATCTTCCATGTCCGTTATCCAGCGCGAGCTTCGTCGCGGTTTAGAGATTTCCGAGCAAATCATGGTTGGCAAGAGACCATGGAGTGACTTGTTTGTCAAGCACACATTCTTCACGTCGGGCTATAGATACTACATTTCCGTGGTGTCTGCAAGCAAGGACAAGGAGGCCCACAAGGTATGGTCGGGATATGTCGAGTCCAAGGTCCGTATGCTGGTGCAAAAGTTGGAGCAGCATCCCTCCATCGCACTGGCGCACGCGTTCAACAAGGGCTACGATCGACGACACCGGTGCAAAAATGACCACGAAATCGAGCAAGTGCAAGAGGGAAGCCTCGAGTTCATGATCAAAGATGGGGGCGATAATCAGACTTCTGGCGAGATAGAACCCAAGCCAGAAGTCAAGGATGGCTCTGCTGAAGCTGTATCCCCCGTCGAGGTCTTTACCACTACTCACTACATTGGTCTCGAGCTGGAAGAGGGTATGTTGCCTCTCGCTCCATTCGTTGCCTAGGCCCTCCAGCGGTCGAATTCTCACGTGATGCTGATTTTACAGGTGCCAAATCCCTTGATCTATCGTACCAGGTTGACGAGTTCAAGGTCCTGTGTACTCAGTGGAAGAAGTACCAGGAAGAACTTCAGCCATCCGTTTCTCTGGGTGTGCAGCACGTTCGAAAGTAAGCTCCCTCACCACTCCTCTGATAACCAAGGATATGGGTTGATGGTCATGAAAAGCTTCAACCTCCCAGACGACGTCTTTGACCCCGGAGAAGAGAAGCCTCAGAAGAAAAGCGCTAAGAGCACGGCAAACAAGAAACGAGGCCCCCCAGAGGTAATACTATCGCATCGACTATTCGCCCCGCGCTGTGGGATGCGATACGTTTATCCAAATCTCCTGAGGAGGGAGAGTGCATACTGACACATTGGCAGGACAATACTCCGCCGGCGAAGAGACAGCAAGCCTCGGTTGCGGCCGCTGGCTGACGAGAACGAGAACAGACACCGTGTCGCGATTCAAGCCTTGGTTTCGGTTTGGACCACTGTTTTACTAAAATTTCAAGCTGACGTTGAAGAAGTTGGGATGCGTTTTTCTCCCCCATCCGCCGTGATTCTGGCTGGTCATTAACCGGCAGCTCAGCCCCGTGCGGCCTCGTCGACATTATCGCTTTCCGGCCCCATTTTTTCTTTCTTTTCTTCTTCTTTTCTCTTCTCTTATCCCTTCTTCAGCTTGTCCCTTTTTTTTTTCTTTACGTATACCACCGTACTGAGGCAGGCATACGAGGTACATAATAAAACGGCGCCTAATCTGATATTAGCAGGACGATGAGAGCTGGTACTCGCGGTTTCTTTACCACCTCACACCGCATATTCTACGATTCCGTAGCGATTATTCTTCGGTCGTATCTACACTGACACAAAGAGGTCCTCTTGAGATGATTTTTCTTCTTTTTTTTTCCTTTTTTTTTTCTCTATTCAGATTTGCATTTAAAATCCATAGTAGGGGTTAAATTTAGATAGAGTTGGCTTGCCACGAATGCAATTATATTCTGAGACATTGAAAACCTCGCCTTTTGAGCCATTGAGTCATGTTTATGAGACAATGCTCCCCTTGATGGTTCACAAGTACTGCGTACCTAGGTACATGTACAGCCTACAAGCTACCTCAGCCATGGCTGCATTCCTGTCCCTTCCTTTGTCTGATCCATGTGCTTTTAGCATGGGCCATTTTTGTATGAATCTCATTCTTAGTGTACTCGTACACACCCCTTAGTCAATCTCACCCCCTTGTTTTTGAAGTAGTTCAAGCCCATCAAAGATCGTCGTCGTCTTCATCGCTACCGCTTGACCAGTCATCCTCATAGGCGGCTCCCAGGTCCGCCAAGCCGTTGACCAGGTTCTCGCGCTCTTCTAGTGAGATGAATGGGGTTACTTGCGAGCGCAGGTTCTTCATCTTGTACACGATGGAGCCTTCTGAGGCGATGGTTGTGCGTACGGGGATGCTCTCGCGGTTGTGGAGGTCGTAGTTGTATATTGAGGGGAAGCTGTCGAGGAGGGGGTAGAGGAGAGAAGTTTTGTAGCTATGGGGCGATTTTTGGTTAGCTTCATGACGCAGGTGTAGTCATTTTGTATGCTTACTTTCGAACAACGGTGTTTCCGATGATGGGGCGCTGGTCCTTTATATATTCAGCTGCAGAGTCCTTGCTAGAGTCCTCGGGTACTCGGAGAGACGATAGTCTGCCAAATGCCCGACTGTTGTTCCCCATCTTGACTCCATCTTTTGAGCTTCCAATCTGCGACAAGTCCAATTCAGGAGGCTCGTCCAAGTCCAGTTCGGCCTGTGGCCCAACAGTCATGCGCATGTTTGCTAGAGTCTGGCGGCCAGAGACGTTCAAGCACTGCGCCATGTCAGCCATACCTAGAGGCTGCGAGCTCCCGTCAAGACGCAGCCGGGATTGCAGCGAGGCCGTCTCCGTAGCTGTGGCGAGCAGTGCAGAGACGTTCCACGCCGAGCTGCTGTCGACAGCAATGCCAGATGGAACACGAGAGTCGGGAAGACCCAGGGGCACCACCATGGAAGCCTGGGCACACGCTTGATTCAGACTCATCGCCGTGTTGGCCAGCCTCAGCCGTCTCTTCTCCCTCACAATCGTCGCCACGGGGCTCTGCAGGCCCCAGACCCAGATACACGTCTTGGGATGCTCATCCCGCAACGCCTCGAGATACGAACTGGCGAAGCCTCCCCACGCATCGTCCAGCGTCGTGTACACCTGCACGCCCTGCATCTGGTCGCACTCCTCCACAAACGGCCGCCAGTCCCTGTCCACCATTTCATTCTCCTTCTCCAGCGACTCAAACAGCTCGACGCCCGTTTCGAAGCGCTCAAAGGGCATGATGCTGGAGTGCAGCTCAAAGTCGTACAGCTGGATGAGCGACTTGGGGTGGTAGTAGACCCGCGAATAGTCGGACCAGTACCGCACATCGGAGGCCTTGAGCTTGCCTGGCTTGACGCCGGCATCGAAATCTCTCTGGTAGTCGATTAAGGACAGCGGGCTCTGCTTATGAACCGCCGGTTGACCAGGCCTATTCCACACACAAAACAAAGCAAACAGAAACAACACGTTAGCAAGAATCCACATTTCCTCCTTACAAGAAGCTCTCAGAAAAACTCACCACAGCGAAGCCAGGGCAACATCCTGACCCGGCGCAACATCATACATGGGATTGACCTTTCGCAGCGGCCCAAACGCGCCCTTCAAGTCATACACGACGGCCCGCGGCAGAAACGTGTCGGAGCCATCCTCGCCAATGCCGGCCCTCCAGTGGATGTTGTGGTCCACGAGCGACTTTTCGTCTTCTGCATATGTAAAGTAGGATTCCTGCGTGTTCCAGAAGTGGGTGGCGACATAGTTGCTCAGATTGCCTAGCTGGAGGGTGACAATCTCACGCATAGCTCAGTGTGTTCTTGTGCAGAATTCGATGAATAACAGATATGAAAGTAATAATAATGAGATTCAGATACGGGTTCTGCGTCAATGGCAGATGAATGAGGGCCGGATTTTCCTCACTTGAGAAGCTACAGGGTAGGTAATTTATGACATATTGGTGGCTCTGGGTAGAGGTCCGCTCGAGCTGTGTGCTGACTAATGTTCACCAGATGTGTAAATACGCAGAACTCGTTTTTTGAGAAGATGCAGTTGTCTATTCTGTCTACAGTCGTTTAATATATTGACAAGATCATGTACCTGTTACGAAGACGTTGAACATTGGGGAGTAAATTAATATATATCTAGACACATGTACCATCCACCTCATGATATGCTATTACAAAAACCGTTGAGGCATCATTTTACGGCCCTCATACTATTGCCTGCAACAAGTGAGCAATAAAACTCCTCAAAGAAAAGTTGGAAACACAGGCTTGGACATGGAGGGGCTATAAAAACATAAGAGAGAATAGGAAAGAAGCCGTGAAGTGGGGAGAGAGAAAGCTTCGACCATGACACCGTCAAACACATCAACATCTTGACACCATTCCATCCGGACGCACAAGCCATGATGTGAAATATCCAATGACTCCGATGCTGCTGACCAGCTCAAGAGTAAGCCTGCTGTTGCACTTGATCTGGCCAGCCAGCCCCAACAGCCCGAGCGGATCCTGGTGGTGTGGTACTACTTCCTCGCGCTTTGATTTCTTGTGTTTCTGACGTCTTGACTTTTGATTCACTCTTGCCAGTGGCATGCCATTCATCGTCATACCTGGCCCGACAAGTTGCATCGGCACTTCGCAAAGGCGCTCAGCCTCTAGGCTCTGCCGCAAGCTCTCAGCCCAACTCGCCATTTCCAAGGGGCGGTGGTACTGCTCGGGGAGGAATGAACGGTTCCATGAGGGAGCGGACAGGGGGTACACGCTCATGGGTTGGCGGCAGATGAGCGCTGATTGCAATGAGGAGCTGCTGGCCTTTTGTCGCCGCCACCTGACACCTTTGAGCGAGGCGGCATGTCGGAGTCTTGCGCTGCCGTCTTGTGACATGAGCTGCTCCACGAGCCTATGGAGATCTGTAGAGACAAGCGGGCGGACATATTCCGAATTCATCAACACGCTGGCGTCCATCACATCGTAATCAGAGTCGGAGATGCTCGAGACGGCATAGACATCCGATGGTTCAGAAGACTCTCCAGGGGCACTAAACGAGAAGTATTCAACGTTCTTGTCACGCAGGCTATAATCGATGGTCTCTTTGGAAGCAATAGCATCGTCGTTGCTGATCTCATCGGCGCGGGCTAACAGGGGAATCACATTAGTGGTGTTTTGCAGCAGTCTGATTGTCTCTACATCTGCGGCTTCGGGGCCTATAATTATCATGTTAGAGTCAAACATGTTGAGAGCTGAGTGACTAGCAAGTAACATACCAGTATGGGGCAGCATATACAGCACTGCATCAACGATAGGTTCAGCCCCGTTGCTTAGGAGATTCCACAGGTCGCCGTCACTGATTGGCCGGTGCAGCAATGGAAAGAGCTGTGATTCGACATAACGGACGGCCGGATGCGCAGCCTCGGAATCTTGCTGCGGAGGGCAGTCCACAAAACAGAGATTACGGTCCAGCATCTGATCCATTGCCGAACTTCGTCGTCTTGGGGCAAGAGAAGGGTCCAGCTCTGCTCTCCACCACGGGTAGGGGCGGGTGCTGGCATATACTTCGGATACTTGGCCCTTGTCGCGATTCGTAACGGGGTCTACATGAACAATATGCTCGCTGCACTGGGCGATAGCCGTGATCAAAGTCGATTTTCCGATCCCTTTCATGTTGTGGTTAGCAGTCACTTCTCCTCAAGCATCGCAACGACGAAAAAAACACACCATCTGGGCCTGTCACCAGAACCTTGAGCTTTCCCAACGACTTTCCCGTGTCCGAAAACGGCCGGCGCCGCGGAACAGTCAGGCTAGGCATGATGAGCTGTGGCGTGTGGCTCCCTGCGAGACCGTCGTTGGCATGTTGATAGAGGCCGATGCCGCCTTGGTGTGGGCCGATGAGACTTAGAGAAGAGCTGATCCGGCTGGCAGACATGGAGGCGACGGGCGAGCTCATGGGCGACGAGGTCGAGCTGAAGACGGACTCGGGGCCAGAGGTGCCCAGCATGACGGGAGTCATTGGCCTGGAGAGGTCGTGAGGCGTTTCGCCGCCGGGCTGGGACGAGAGAGACGGTGAAGGCCACGATATGGATGTGGAGGCGGACATGTTGGATCGGTGACAGCTCTTGCCAGCGCGGGCATTTGCATTTGCATTTGCATTTGCATTTGCTTCACCCTCGCTCTTGTACGGGAACCGCGGCGTCTGGAAGCTCATCTCGCTCAAGTCGCTGATTGAATCCTCGGTGCCGACAAAGTACGTCATTTGGGGCATCGTCGCAGTGGGCGTCAAACTGTCGGGGCGCCCATGATGGTGATGGGCAGAAGCGCTGCCGCTGGCCGGAACTGGTCGCATGTTGTGCGCGAGTCTCCAGCAATGAGCGGACCTGGGAGACTCAGTACTAGGTAGGTAAGAGGGAGGAAGTCTGAAGCAACGTTGTTGAAGCAAAGATGCGATGAAGGGCTGACGTGTGATTTAGAGTTGATCTATCCGTATCGTTGGGGGAGAACTTTCGGCCGGTGATTAACGCGACAGCGCAAGTGTTGAGCAAGGTATGGGGTACCGTCTCACCGAGTACTGCGTAGGTATACTTGGCAGGCGGTGGGGTGGAGATGCGCGACTGCGGAGAGCGGGGAACGACTTTTGGGTACCTTTCGCGTCGTACTCTTTACTTGATCAAGGATCGGATGTAAGTCGTTCGTTTGAACAGTTGACTGACAGCCGCTACTACTAATAGAGTGGTGCTGCTACTGGCAAATAAGATGCGATAGAGGCAGAGATGGAGGCAGAGGCTCATCTATTCCCTCACTTGCCAACGGAGCGCGTGCTATTCCTGCTTTTCACGAAGCCAATAACGAACCGCCCATGACCTTCTGTTATGTCCAGCATCCGACACAGCATACCGCAGCTGTTAGTGCTCTACTGTACTCCGTACTGCAGTGACAAACAGCTAAAAGTACAAGTACAGAGCACCCCGTGTTAGAAATACGCCCCTTTAAGATCCCTGGAATGCAGGGACAGCGCTCAGCGTTAGTTCGATACGGCTTATCTAAGTGCATATCCGCGGCCCACTATAGCGGGGCATTCGATCCTCCTCTGTTCCTCTGTATTCCCAGCTTCCAGCCTCTTGGGGAGACATCAAGCATTTTGGGTACTGACTCTGACTCATCTGGAGACAAGCAGACGAGCTGAGCTGTTCGGTTGTCAGCAGCAAAGACAAGACGCGACGCAGAACCGCCAAGATGGACGGCAAGAGACATCCCAGCTCGTTCCAGCAACTGGAGAAGCTCGGAGAGGGCACGTACGCCACTGTGAGTTGGTTTCTTTGCAGTTGAGGCCAAATACAATAGACGTCGACTAACCGCCAGACAGGTCTTCAAGGGGAGAAACCGCCAGACCGGGGAGCTGGTCGCTCTCAAGGAGATTCACCTCGATTCCGAAGAGGGCACGCCATCGACCGCCATCCGAGAAATCTCGCTGATGAAGGAGCTCAAACACGAGAACATTGTCGGACTTCACGATGTTATTCACACCGAGAACAAGCTGATGCTCGTGTTTGAGTACATGGATGGCGATCTGAAGAGATACATGGACACTCACGGCGAACGCGGCGCCCTCAAGCCCACGACGATCAAGTCCTTCATGTACCAGCTGCTCAAGGGCATCGATTTCTGCCACCAGAACCGAGTCCTGCATCGAGATCTCAAGCCACAAAACTTGCTCATTAATAGTAAAGGATGTCTCAAGCTTGGTGACTTTGGTCTTGCCCGTGCCTTTGGCATCCCCGTCAACACCTTCTCCAACGAGGTTGTGACCTTGTGGTATCGTGCACCAGATGTCTTGCTCGGTAGTAGGACATACAATACGAGCATCGACATCTGGTCAGCGGGGTGCATCATGGCTGAGATGTACACTGGCCGGCCATTGTTCCCCGGAACAACAAACGAGGATCAGATTGTCAGGATATTCCGCATCATGGGCACACCCACCGAGCGCACATGGCCCGGCATTACCCAGCTCCCAGAGTACAAGCCCACGTTCCAAATGTACGCGACTCAAGATTTGCGCAACATTCTCCACGCAATCGACCCCAGTGGAATCGACCTGATTCAACGGATGCTCCAGCTTCGACCAGAGCTTCGCATAAGTGCTCATGACGCCCTGCAGCATCCTTGGTTCAACGATCTCGTCCTACAGCAACAACAGCAGCAAGCAGCCCTGCAAGCTCAGGCGCGGAGTTTCCAGCAGGCGGTCCCCTCGCAAGCCTTTGACAGCAATTACTAGGCATAGTTTGTGACATATCCTGCGCACCAGGATCCCGCAAGGCTGGCCATTAACAGGCATATCTATATGGTCCATCCCGGCCATTCTTCGATTGTATGGGGAAAAAAAGAGTTGACTCGTTATTACTTTTGGCTGGCGATCAAGACAGCGTAATTGCATATCTACATTAAAAAAATGACCTACACATGCCCAGCAGACGGTGTGGGAATACAACGGTCAGACTAGAGCTGTCGCAACAAATCCGGGCTTTGGCGGTGGCTGGATGATATTACTGATACTGATAGTTTAACGCTCATGAATTTAGGGGACGGGACAGGACAAGATATCCATCCTTTTAATAAGAAGCAAAAGCAGAGAATTTCCATGTTGGGTCTTGCACTCCGTCACAGGAAATGGGGACTTTTGCCATTTGACTTTGTAGCGCTTGGATTCAGTGTCTATTGACAAGGCTCCCATCTACGGGGCTCTTGAATTTACGTTTATTCGGCTCCTTGGACCACGTCTCGGCAAGGGCGGCTGTTTCGTCTTCCTCCGGAGCGAATCCCATGCTCAACCTGAGCTTTTGAATCTCGTCGCGAACCGCCTTTGCAACTTCGACCCTGAGCTGCACCGCCTCTGGATCGTGTCTCAGCTGATCGGGGTCGCCGCTCTTCTCAACCAACCGCTTCCAAGAAGTGCGATAGTGGCCAAAGAGGCTGTCGACGTCGGTTGGTTTCCCAATCATGACTCGTACTCGCTGGCCTATGCGCGGCAGGAAACGCGGGAACCCTCTATCTTCGGACATGATGTTCTGCGTGCCATGGATGAACATGGGGACAAACTCGGGTGCCGGGTCGCTCTCGAGAATCAGGCGGGATACACCCCATTTGAAGTAGCGCAGGGTACTGTCGGGGTTCTGGTGGCAGCAGGCCTCGGGGAAGATGTGGACCCAGGCATAGTGGTTGGCGGCAAAGGCAGAGGGCGAGACGAAGCAGTCGGTGCCGTTTGTGGAAAAGGTCATGTCGGAGGGCTTGATGACGGATGACGGGCTGGAGAGGAGCTTGATTGCCTGGGCAATGGTGGGCTGGTATAAGCCCCCTTGCGGCGAGTGCCACAGCCGGTGGGTGGGCAGCACCTGGCCGTAGCTGAAGAAGGCCGACAAGAAGCGGTTCTTGAAGCAGATGTCGTGGGCACCGAGGCCCCAGCGGAGGTTCTCGACGTCGACGGCGTACCGCAGCGGGAGAATGCCCCAGATCAGGGGATCATCGAGTCTTGGCTAGTTGGTCAGCAAAAGAGTGTTTTATAGCATTGAATTTGTTTGGTTGTTTCTCGTTGAGATACCATACACGGAGACGTGGTTGCACACAGTCAGCAGGCCGCGGTCTCGCTGCCCGTTTTTGCGGCGGTCCAGCACGCCCAGCAGGTTGTCCAGCCCCGTGACCTCGACCCGGTTGAGGCCGTAGAGGAATGCTCGTGATGCGGCCCCGACGCTGCTCATGACGGCCACCGAGGCGAGCCGCCAGGGCGCACCGGGCCGTGACGCGGGCGTGGGAGTCAAAGGCGACGACATGGGACTTGTTGTGAGCTCCGGCTACCTAAGTATGTTTGGCGGTTGCTTTTGGCGCGGAGAGATGGCCCGGCGCTGGGTTCCATGACAGGCACTTTTGGAGGCCATTTGGTGGTGAGAAGAAAGGCACATATAATAGTTAGGTACTCGTATGGAGCAGATGGGGCCGAGCCTTTTTTTTTTTTTTTTTTTTTTTTCCCCTGTCGCTCCTATTTTTTTTCCTTGGGTCGGGTCCAGGTGCTAAAATGCTGCAGCTAGCCCGCTAGCCGTGCCCGCCAGCAGCTGAAACTTGGTTGATGCAGCGCTGGAATATAGCGCCCAATGCCTAAACCACAAGCGTGCCGTAGTGGATGTGATTGGGCAATGGCAGCCGGAAATACACCTGCATTTCAGGGCTGGCATTTCTCTATTTTGGTACTAGTCAGGCTACAGGACGGGGGAATGGCTAATCCTAGATGGGCAGTATCGTGGCTTGCCTAAGCTTCGCGCTGCTTCAAGCTAGGTACTAAACTAAGATCCGATACTCTTCGCATCTGCATCAACATTTACAAACATTGCTGTACATACAATCCATATATACGATACGACACGGGTGCCGCTTCGAGTTATTACCGGCGTTATTGAACCTGGCAGAGGCCATTTGTTTGCACATATGCGGCAAGGATAGCCACAATGTCACATAGTAGGGCGGCTCTCATCCTCTCTCTTGCTGGGCTGGGCGAGCTTCCACTCCAGTTTGAGCTCTCAGAAGCTAACCACCAAATCCCCCGTCCACAGGCAAAAGAAACACGACTCGCCCCGTCTTCACTTCGTACGAAAGAGAGCAGGCCAAGTCGAACTGGAGCTCCAAATCCGCACAGCTCAGCCGAGACTCTTTCCTGCCCTTTGGGTTCTGCAGTCTCTGCCTGGAAAACGCCCGAGAGCCCGTCGCGTGCCCTCGAGGCGACATTTTCTGCCGCGAATGCGCCCTGGAGAACCTCTTGGCACAGAAGAAGGAGCTTAAGCGGGCGGAAAAAGCACGCCAGAATGCGGAGAAGGAGGCTGCCAGGATCCGAGCCATTGGCGACGACGAGGAGCGCGAGCGAGCCATTCGCGACTTTGAACTGACCCAGGCTGGGTTGACGAATAATCATGGCTCGGGCAAGCAACGTTCGAGTGCTGCGGCGGAGAGCGAAAAGGAAGAAGCTACTGTTCGCGCTGGGTCCAAGAGAAAGTTTGCCCTTGATGCGGATGAGCTAGATCGGATTGCGGAAAACGACAAGGCAAAGGCTAGGAAAGCAATTGATGATGAAAAGGTGAGGCCAAGAGCCGCACGTAAAAAAATGCTGCCACGTCCAGCGTATGCTAATCTTGTCGTGACAGGCTGCTAAACCAACACTCCCTTCATTCTGGACACCTTCACTCACCCCGGATGTGCAAAACAGTGGCTTGGCCCCCGTCGTAAAGAAGGCCAAAACGACGCCCACCTGTCCTGCTTCCGCAGAGCACGACGCACACCCCTTTTCTCTCCAGAAACTGCTGAAAATCGAGTTCAACGAAACCACAGACTCGGCCACCAAGGAAGCGCGCAGAACCTGTCCTTCATGCCTCAAGACCCTTTCCAACGCTTCCAGCCCGATCATGGCGGACAAGTGCGGCCACGTCCTGTGCTTCAGCTGCGTCAAGCAGTTTGTTCTTCGCTCGGAGAAGCTGCCAGCTCAAGAGGCAGAAACAAACATTGCATGCTTTGTTTGTAGCACCCCCGTCGCCGTCGTCACCAAACCCACCAAGATTTCGAGCGCAAAGGACTCTTTGCCGACAGGGCTGATCAAGTTGAAGTCAGAGGGGACCGGCTTCTCTGCTCGCGGTTCGCGTACTGTGGAAAAATCAAGCGTTGCTTTTCAATGTTGAGCGGAATTTGATTTACATTCTAAGCTCCCATCCCATGCCCTGTGGCTCAGATTCATCGCCGTAGGGAAGACGTTGTGCCGAAATGCACCGTATTGACCCTCAAGCTCCTTTATGGAGATATGCATTGATCGATGACAGGCTTGGGTCTGCACACAGAATCAAAACAACGGTGTATCAGAACTCTGCATTGAAGGAGGGCTTCCAGTCAGCTTCTCTTACAAAGAGGCCCGAGAAGCTCTATGCGCTTTGCGCCATATCGAACAGCTTCTCATCTCCAGGTGGCTTGATTGGGCGACAGTGACGACAATTGAACGCAGCCCATGAAATCACAGAGTCAGATGGCTAAAATACCCGAGCCCGGCACCTTTTTGAACATCGTACGCCGCCCATCAACTCTATTGAGTGCTTGTCTCTTGGACACCTTTAAATATAGCTCCGGCAAGGTGAGATACATGGACCAGTACGGAAGAGGATCCATTCGCTGGCTATTACCTTGCAATGTTGGCTAAAGGAATAGCTCGGCCTTCACTCAGTGAGCTACTATGGCCACTGCAATGTCAAGCCGCCTCCTGTGGACGGAGAGACGAAGAGTAGGTTATTGCATCTCTGTTGTCTTGACTAAGAGTAAAGCCAGAGACTGCAACCTACTATAGAATTGCATTGTGTGTTTGGATATAGCAAGCACATTGATGATGGCTGATATAACAACCAGCCTCTATATAGAACCATCATAGACAGCTATTTAATCACAGCCACGAATTTATTCAACCTCGTATGGAGTGCAATGATGTGAACTCCAACTGACTCGGCTTCTATTGATACACCTTGTATGGCTGTCTCCAACAACGTATCTATACAAAGATGTGTTTATACAATGAATAGGATGGATAAACCTTCAAAAAGGAGAAGTAGAAGAAAAGAACAGGCGAGAAAACACGGTATCCCAATACCGAGCCGTGTCACCGCCCGTATCGCTGAATATAGAAAGGATAGTCATTTCAATCATCAAAACCCATTTCCTAGTCCCGAGAGCCATTCCCTAAAATGGTATATACCCAAAAAAGAAGATTGAAGAAAAAAGTTCCAAAGAAGAAGAGTAGAAAAGACACCACGCGCCTTGTCCATGCTCAACCAACCGCTGTAATTGCAAAACCAAAAGAAAGAAAGAGAATGATATAAGATCTCAAGGGTCATCATGCTTTCTATGCCCGACTCGCCACCGAGGCCGGCCTTTGTGGCGGCGCAGGCATGCCGAAACTGGCCTGCCGCGCCGACCCCGGGATGGACATTGATTCCACGTCGGGCTCGCCCGGAGCGTCTTCGTTATCCAACAGCCCGGGGTGGCCCGGGGGCAGCCTTTGAGCGCCAAAGCCGGTGACCTTGAAGATGTTTGTGCGGCCTCCATTGGTGGCCATCTGCAGCTGCTCGTGAAGCCTTGCAAGCTGGTACTGGCGCTTGATGGGGGTGAAGAGGGGTTGCGGAAGCAGGGGTTGAGGGTTCCAGTGGGCCAAGGCACTCATGACGGCGCCCGTCTCTTCATCAGAGTCTACAGGGCCGTTGTTGGCGTCGTCGTCGTCCTCAAGAGGCGCATTTGCATCCAATGCAGCTTCTGTAGTATTGGGTTAGCCCCTGAAAAGATAATGTGTAAGTGGTGGCAGTGGGGACATACTCTGCTGCTTGGCTTGGTTCTTCTTCTGGTACGCTGCCAGAAGCATGTCGTACGGTAGAGATCTTCCTGATACGGCACGCTTTGCTCCCATGGAATGACTTTTACAGGTTAAGGAACGAGCACACGGTTGCCCATTGGGTAGAATGACACCGCATTGGCGCTCAACATCGACAGGTCCTGCAGGGGGGGAAACGACAAGAGTCAGCGAATCTATCTGAGAAACCGTAATTTGTCTTGTCGCAGCAACATACCTTTAGGCTTGGGCAGCTTGGCCTTTGGCTCATCCTTCTTCTTCTTTGCCTTGGGCCCCTTGTCTGCATCGGCATCTGCTTTGCGTTTCTTGCTGACCTCTGGCTTCTTGCTGGCGGCCTTCTTGCCGGCCTTCTTTTCTTCCTCGGCCTCGCTGTCTTCATCCTTGCCATCCGCGTTGTCGTCGTCATTCTTCTTGGCCTCTTCTTCGCGGGCCGCCTCCTTGGCTCGCTCTCGAGCTTCTCGAGCCTCCTTCTTCCGCTGGGCCTTTTCTTTCTTGACCTTGAGGCACTGTGCGATATGGCCCTTTGCGGCCGTTTTCAGGATGCTCTTCTTGCAATGCTTGCACTGCTGAAGCTCCAGGTTGTCCTCCAGGGGTCGGCCGGTGGCAAAAGTCTCGCGGGACAGGTCGTCCAGCTGGTTGACGACGGGCCCAGGAGACACGGGCACCGCAGGTGACGAGTTGCTATTCTTTTTTTTCTCTTCTTGCGCAGCGTCAGTACTAGAATTCAGCGGTAGTGGAAGAAGTTAAGAAGAGAGTTGATATATACCATCGATGACGCTGCCATCCATCCAGTTGCCCGGCTTGTTGTGCTTTGGGACCGACTTCTTCAGCTTGATTGTGGCATTCTTGGAGTCCTTTTTGGAAGCGACCTTGATGGTTTGATCTGCGGCTAGAAGCGTCAGCTGGAACGAACTGTGACATGCATATCATGCATGGCAGATGATGATATCGCCTGCCCACCTTTGCGCGACTCTGCGTCTGGCGCCATGATTTGCCGCTGCGCCGGGATGATGTCAGGATGTGCAATTTTTGTATCGTGACACACGGCAAGGAACGGGGAAGAGTTGTAGCAGGCACAGCAAGGCGCGACAACACTTTGTAGGCGGTGGATGTTGGGTATAAGTTGCAGACGGACAGTGACGATCGCGAGGCTGATGTCCAAGGAACCCAACTTCACGTGTCTTGGGAGGCCGGAAGCAACAACGATGTTCCGAGGGCGTCGCAAAGGGTCGGCGGTACGTACCGACACCACTTACAGGCGTATCTCAATTGATTGAATCTGAGCTCAGCTGCAATTCATTAATCACGCGCCATTGTAACTGTGAATACAATAGAATAATAGACAGGGTATTCATGAGGTATGTTATGGATCTATCAGTATAACAATATTGAAAATAGAAATTCAACAGTGACATGCATGCATAGGTACATGCGATAGTATATGCACTGTGCCGAAGAACCAACCAACCTTGTCCCGGTGTCACTCTACGGCACTACTAGGTACTTTAGTGAGAGGGTACCTCGGCCGGCCCCATGGGGATCGCGGCGACCCATTTCTTCATTCTCCGCTACTTTGCACAAGCTTCAAATCAATAGTATCAAAGTCCAAGGTGATGTAGCATCTATGTAGACCGCTGAACCCCCAGAAACGCCCCAGTATATTCAAGATTCAAGAAAACACCAAGCCCATCATTCTGGGAATCCACCAGTTATGTGTGTGCTGTAGGTGAAAAGGGGTATAATATGAGATCAGATTAGTAGTATAAAGAAAATGCACTGGCCGTGATCATCGCAATCACCTCAGCGTCGGGATATTATCGGTTTCACGCCAGGCCTTGTATATGCGGTCCCTCATTGCCATGTGGCCAAGACTGCGCTACACAGAGAGAGTACGGGTCAGCATCTTGTTTAGGCTGCAGGTGACATACATACTCGTACAAGAGAAAAGGAGAAGCCTACCGGATGAAAAGTCTTGCCGTAATATGTGGGCACATACCACATGGAATTCTCCGCCACGACCCGCCCGTCTGCCTTTCGTAGCTTCGCATCTTTGCTAGCCGCCGTGGCCATCATGCACAGGGCCATCTCGCCCCAGTCCCCGGATCTCTGCGCAGGTTCGAGGCAGTCGACCGGATCAACCAGCGGGGAGTCGAGAGGGAGCAGGGTGTCTGTTGTCCCGGGCACGGGCGTCTCCGAGTTGTCCAGGCCGCCAACGAGGAAGAACCAGGTTTCGTTTCTCGCATAGTCAGGCTCGACGACGCCCGGCTCGCAGAAGCGATGGTCGTCAAAGGCGTCATCGTAGTCGACAAAGAGCACCCTGGGCTCCGCAAACGCGGCGTTGATGGCGTCGACTGAGCGCCGGATCTTGTCGTTGACGTCGACAACCATGTCGTTCATGCGCCGTCGAAGCTCCCGCTTCAGCTTGGGGCCTCGCCACCACATGCCGAAAGAGTAGTCGTCGCACTCCTCCGTGTCGGCGTTGAAGAAGCGGGCGTATCCAGTGACGGTGATGGTGAACCACGGCCGCTTCTCCCACCGGACGCGGTCGAGAATTTCCATGATGACGAGTCGAAGGCGGTGTTCGAAATCGGAGCCGGCCATTTGCTCGTCGGCGCGACGAAGAGCAGATTCGCAGGTCCCAGAGTAGAAGCTGTAGAAGCGAAAGATGCAGCTGTTCATGATTTCAAAGAAGCCCAGGTCGTTGCCGCCAATGGACAGGAGGGCAAAGTCGGCCGTCGTCGTCGTGTTGAACCCGTCAATTTGGCTGTGCTCCGCGCCGGCGAGCATATCGTTGACGGTCGAGCCCGTGCACGAGAGGAACTGAAAGGTAGGGCTGTCGCCTCCATCCAGGCTGCGGCTGAGGTCGTTCTGGACCAGCATCGGGTAGGCATTGTGCCCGTGGCGACAGTCATCTTCGGTGCCGTTGAACAGGCCCGTGCCGATGCCGGCAGAGTACGAGTCACCGAGAGCGATGAATCCTGACGGACGGTGTCCCGGCCTGCTGGGAAAGGGCGGTGCGTAAGGAGCCTGAGATCGATAGGCTGTGGTGGGTGATTCTGCGGTTGTTTGTAAGACGTAGGTTAGTGAAAAGGAGCGCTATTGATGTGACGCAAAGCAAGGAACGGGGGATGGACAGCGCTGTCTCACCTGGGCGATGCTGTCCCAAGACTAGCTGTTCATTGTCCAAGCGATGCTCGTACGGCTGGACGGCCAGGCCGAGGCTGCGGATGGGAGCCCAGGCGAGCGTCAAGACGAGCAGCCAGTTTGCAACGTCTGGATACCGCGCCATGCTGGGGATGGGAAGAAGGATGAAGATGATGAAGATAAAGAAGACGATAAAAGCAGATGAAGCAAAAAAAGACAAACAAATGGCAGCTCAAGACATTTGAGCGCGGAGAGGTTGAGACGAACGCTTCGGATTGCCCCGGCGTTGGGGATAGCCGGGGGGTGAGTCGTTTGCAACTTGGTTGGGCTGAATGATGAGGCTGATCTGATGCGAGTAGGAGTAGTTTTGTGAGTCTTTTATGACTTACATGGCCCGTCTTATATGTATATGCGGATACATCGGGTAGATAGATAGATGCAAGCTGCAGACGCATCTACTAATGATAATACATGTGAGCTGCCATAGTGACCGAGTGACTGTCATACAGACCAGACTCAACCGTCATGCAGCGGCATCTGCCTGGGGGAACGCGACAGATAAGATAGCAGAGCCTAGCCTTGTGTCCGGGGGTCACCATTTTGTTGGGCTCGCTCCCGCTTATAGGCTGCCGTCGCTCCATGTGCCGCGGTAGCGAATTCCTACTTGCTGCCGCTTGTCAGGGGGCTTTAGTACCTTATGTAGTTGGAATAGCTCGTTTGCGACGGGCTCACGAGACGAGACTGAGGCGGGAATCAAGGGTTCATGTAATGTCGGGTACCTTTTGCTTGTGCAGATGGTACTGGAAAGAGGATGCAAGTGTTAAGCAGAGGTAATGTCTGCCGGGTACTTTTGCAGGGTACATGTTATCTTGTCGCAGAACGAACAACGTTGGTGAGTAAACGGGAACATGAGAGAGAGAGAGGCCAAGTAAATTGCTCGTGAAAATGCATCCAATGATGTTAACTTATTGCAAGTAAGCTAGTACCTACCTGTAGTGTAAGATGCTGCCTTGATACTCCCCCAAGCTCTATCATCCGAGCTCCGCAGAGCAGCTATGCTTAATGTGCATTGCATTTGGCCCACCCTTATGATTCCCGCTTCTCCGTCTCCAATCTGCCAACCTCTCCCCGTCAAACAAAGCATGTACCAGCACGAACCCGGAAGAATCCCACTTGGAAGCAATGGGTACAAGCACCAAGTACCTAATGTACATTCAGTACACGTATTGGACCCCTAACTTGATGTTCCATGGCCCTTCATACTACGTCATTCACGTGCGTCCCCCACCACACGTTTCCCACGCCTTTTTCCCCACCAAAAAAGGCCGGCGATCTCGATCCAAAAACAACGAAAGCCTTGCGTCATCGCCCATCAACCCCCTTTCAGCTGCTCCCAACCCAGCAAATTCCAAGCTTCAGAATTGCAGCAATCACCGAAGTATTCAAGGTACTAGGCCTAAGGTTTATGCTTGTCACAAATAGCAGCTGCACAAGGGCAATTCCCTGCCCCCCCACCTCTTGAATGTATGTACCTACTCCCTTTCGAATAGCTGTCCAAGTACTTGCACGCAAAACTTGGCTATGCGCCAATCCCCTCCGTCATTGCCGTCATACGTGTGTCCATGTCTGTTCCCCCCCAGCCTCGCTCGCCATGGCCATTCAGCGAGTGAGAATCCCGGATTCTGTTAGTTCAAAACAGCTTTGAGTAGACCGTGCTACAGTACGTCGACGTCAGAGGCGGGCTTCCCAACCCAATTGCCCTCCAGCTTTTATTAAAAGGGCCTGGCTGCCTCTGGAACTCTATCTTGTTCCCAATTCTCAAGTGATTTCTGCCAAACCCAATGCTTTCTACTCAACTTGGTACTATAAGCCATCTCCATCATTGAAACTACAGTCCATCTACGTAGCTGTCCTCTTCTCAACACCACAAACCAACTAAACGCACACCATCTACAACATGTCCTCCGCCATCGAAACCATCAACCAACTCGCGACATCCGCCGCAAAGGCCGTCTGGGGCGACTCCAGCACCGACGAAACCCACAAGGAGCCCATCTCGGGCGCCACCGGCGACGTTTCCAAGGGCGAGCCTTATGACGCCGGCAACTTGGGTATGATTGATAACCATGTGCATCATATCACAATGACTAACGCAAAAGCGCCCATACAGACCCCAAGGACCAAAACAAGGTCGAATCCAGTCTCAAGGGCCAACAAGACGACTCCCCCTCAGACCTAGCCGAAAACGAATACTACGCCCTCTCATCCTCCGCAAAGGACAAGCCCCTCCCCGAAAGCCCTCGCACCAAAGAACCCATCGGCGGCACCACCCTCCAGGATAATAAACCCAAGAGCAGCATCCCCAAGGACACTACAACAACAGGCACAAACGCAGACGACGGCGACGACGACGCAGCAAACCCCGAACAAGGCAAATCCCTCGACGAGCTCACCGGCGCCGGCCCCCGCCCCGTCGAAGAGCTCGCCAAGGAGAATGGCGGAAACGCTGCTGCCGCTGCCGCATCCTCCGGCGATGCCGTATCTTCGTCACAGGAGGAAAACAAGATGAAGCCCACGGAGCAGAAGCTGCCCGAGGACAATTCCCAGCGCAACGACAACAAGAAGTGGGAGGCTACCGAGGACGACTACGTCAAGACGACGGGGCTGGCGGCTGACGGAGGCAACTTTGATGCTGCGAAGCCTGGGGCTGGAGTTGAAGCTGATCGTATGTTCCTCTTTCTTACCTATGTATATGGTGAAATGAACCCTCACTGATCGTGTAAATTGTATAGGCTTGATGGAGCAAAAGGGCCTCAAGACAGACGACGACGACAACCACAAGGCCGGCAGTTCTGGCCGCAAGAGCTCGGATTCAGGCCGTCACAAGGATAAGCCCAGTCTAGGGGAGCGTATCAAGAACAAGCTGCACCGCCATTAAACCCGTCTATGAATTTCTTTTTTCCCAAATTCCCCCTTTGTTCCTTTTTTGTCAATTTTGTACCAGAAAGAGTACTCTCTTGTATCAATTATTTAATCCTACCTGTATGGAAAACGAGGTGTTTATGCGTCTATGATACTTTTTCTGTATTTCCTCATTCTCGCGCTTGGAAAAAAAAAGACAAAATATCCAATATTCACGATCTCAATAACGCTCCGGATATTCAATGCAAGCTTATTCGTAGATTCGATTTCCAAAACACTAATGCTAAACGTCAAAAACAAGTATATATACCATCATAAATAAGCCGTACCATATATATATGCAGCGTTGGATATATATGTAATATATATAAAACGGGTATGATATTCCAAGTTTTCCCAATCGCCATTTGACATTCATTTTCCTCAATTCAATGAAGGAGAAAATTTCCATCCAACTCTAAATCAAAGATGCCCAAGCTCAAGAGTCCGAAAAACAAAACATCCATCAGATAAAACAAAATTGAGAACATGGAATAATGTTTTGTCTTGTTTTTTCTTTGCATCGTGCGAATCCCAAGTTTCCTCTCTCGAGCCGTTAAAAAAAAACCAAGCCAAGTCAAGTCCAAAACCCATCAGAGGCGCCAACGAGAATGCCAACAAGTTTTGCTTGCGAATCATAATCACAAAAGTCGTCAGAGGCGGCAAACCCACGGTAAATGTAAATCCATCCTGCTCTCTTCATGGTGCCGATGCATTTCAACGTCCAGTCATCCCCCACGCCCCTTTGTTGGCTCTGGGTCATTGGATGTTGATTGAAATCAGGAAAACCCAAGACCACTTTGAATGCAATCAATCCATGACAGCATTTTTGTACAAGAGCCGTCCAGGCTCGACTGCATCCTTTGTTTCTTTTTTTTCGTCTTTTTCCCCTTGCCTTTCAATTATCCCCCTCTTTTTCGCGCCTCGAATCCCTGGAAAAAAAAGAAGAAGAAATCCAACTTTCGCTGCCATATAGTACCAGACCATTGCGGCATGGCTTTTTTTGGGTGGCCAGATCTTCCCCTTTCTAGATCATCCTGGTATCATTTCTCTCCCTCAAACATGCTTTGTGCTTCTCGTCTATACACCCTGCTTCTCCATTGTACATCGCGCTAAGCGTCCTTATATATAGAGCCCAGTTTGCTGACTGTGTCAAACAATATCAGAGGATCAGGGCTTTGGTGGCTCAGGGGCGAGTATTTCACAAAAAGCCAGATTCAGCAAGAACCCTGCATCACACAATTCGTTAGCAAATGTGAAAGGGCAAATTGAAGCAAAGCTCTCCTCTGCTCTGCTTTGCTATACATACCTGACAATCTTCTCGTCCTCACGCTCGCGCGGTTCAATCTGTAAACTCTTGTCGTACATCTCATGTACGTCTCCCGCGGCTTGCATGTTGCTCACTATGTAATCATGCAGCTCGGGGACTGGCTGCAGGGAGTATCCCACATTCTGGTATTGCTGAATGTCGCGGATGACCTCGGCTGTCTTTGCTCTCTTGGCAAAGTTGATCAGATTGGTCTTTTTAATCACCGAGGGTATTCCGTCCTCAATAAAGGTAAGATCGGTCAAATAGACACCTGCGTTCTCCAGTCAAAACCACCACTCTTCACCACACGGTCGCTCAACAGTCCAAACTCACCAAAAAAGGGGATGCACGGCGGGTTGGCAACGTGAAGCGCCTCGCGATACTCGCCAAAGTTCTTGGTGCTGGCCATGAGTCGACGCATCGTTTCCAGAACAACGCTGGTTCGCTGAGGGACTTGGTCCCAGGTTCGCTTCAAGCGGGCAATAGGCGCCGTGCCCAACGCTGAGATGATGGATGTCAACGTGGAGAAGTTGTTGAGGCCTCGGCATTTCTAGTACAACTGTGTTAGCACCTGTTTCTTCTTCTTTCAATTCAAAAGCTTCAGGATTCGCAAACATACGTCGGCAACAGCAACAAAGTGCTTAATCACCACAACTCGCTTCTTGACATCCATTTGGTTTAATATCATTTCCGCCACCCAGTTGGTCATCTGGTTAGAGTGCAGAATCAGAGCCTTGACGTTCGGAGCTGCGTCAGGGTCGCCCTCTGCAACCTTCTTCTGCCACGTCTTGTTCAAGCACTCGGTGGCCTTGATCTTGGAGTACAGCCGAGATTCGATGATTGTCAGCTGGCGAGCAAACTCTGTCACGTCAATGTCCAAGAACTTGAGCTTTCTCATGTTCTTGGGAATGATGGGTGTCGGAGTGCTCTGGTTCAGGGTTTGAATCATGCGCCTGGCGCCGGCCTCCTTGCCGCTGAGCCTCTGGTCGAGGATCGCCATCAGCGGCCCTGAACCTGGTGTCTCGGTCGACTTGACAGTGTCTCTCGCAAACGTGTAGACGTCGCGTATCAGAGTCTTGGACTCGTCGTTGAACTCTTCCATCCAAAAACTGTCGAACCAACTCTTGAGAATGTTGACCACTCTGAATCGGATGAGCTTCTGCTTGCGGTCTCGCCACAACTCATAGTCATTTTGTGTGAGGCCCTCCGGAGGCTGTATGCCGAACCGTTGAACCAGCATCTCAAAGAGCTCGCGCGCCGAGGTAAAGGATCGATAAGTCAAGAGGAAGGTGTTGTTAAAACTCGAATCAAGTTTATCATGGCGCGTGAGCTGCTCGACCAGTGCCAAGAGAGATCCTCCCTTTACCGTGGGTGTGGTTGCCTTTGCGTCCCAAGAGAGATCGTTTTCATGGTCTAGAAGCAGGAACTCGGGCGTGTCCTCGTCCGGCTGGAGCTGTGGTGACGGGTCTTCTCCAAAGATCTTCTTGACCTTGGAGTAGTCGCCCTTTCTGGAGAATCCGGGGGGAGCATCGCCCTCGGAGTACGACTGGGTGGTGATGAGTGGCGGTCGGACTGGTGCGGTCCTCGAGTCCGATCGTTGGTGCGGCCTATCGTAAGGCATAGTCTCTCCTCGCTGGAGCTGGCCCCGCGGTGGTTGACGGGCCTTTGCTTGCTGCTGCTGCATGTTGATCAGGACCTGCTCTGAAAGCAGCTGTAGCGAGAATCCCGTGTGCGACGAGTTCGTCTCGAGTGCTCTCGCGCACTTGCGAACATAGTCGAGACGGCTCTCGAGAGGCTCTCCCCGGACTTCTGACCATTCGTCCGCCAGGGGTCCGGCGACGGCTTGGCAGCTTAGCAAGAGGTCGGCAATGTTGTCGTACAGCGACTGCTTGTTGATGCTAAAGTCTTCCAGCTGCGGTGTCTGGAATGTATTGCCTAGAGATGACAGGTCGACCGACTCAATCATGGCAATCCACGGTCTAAATGTCTCTACGACCTTGCCGCCGGCAAAGCAGATATTGTTAGCAATGGCCTCGTGTCGCTGAGGCGAGATGATCTTTTCAGGAGCTGTCAGGTTCTTTTCCAGCTCGCGAATGCTAGACACAAGAATTCTCTTGTGCTCATCTAACCTCTCGAGGAGATTACCATCGAGGACTGCAGTGGGCTCGGTGAGACCCTCTTCATCGTCAAGGAAGTTGGGGGACATCAAATCGTGGAAATCTAGCCCGTTGCTCTGCCAGCTACCACCTGAGGTGCTGCCAATGACAAAGCCAGGGAAAAGTCGGGGGATGTCCTCTCCTCTCTGTTGCCTGGCAACTTCAACATAGCTGAAGACGCCGCCCAAGACGCCGTCGGCCTCCTGGAGACACTTTTGAACGGATTCCGCGTTGGGCCAATCGGCGGCGGCAATGTGGGAAGAAATCACCAGCTTGGAAAACTTGGACATCATGTCTCGGAAGTGGGGGTAGAGTGCCTTGTTGGTGGAGATGATGGAAGGCTGGCCAGAGTGGTTGTCCGTGGTCCCTGAGCCGGCGGCGAGAAGTAGTCTGAGGTGATCGGAAATATCTTCGGCCCTGGCCACGTATTCGGAGCGGGCGTTGTTGGTGACGGCCTCGCGATATCGGTCGATGGCGCGCTTCATGTTGGTGACAAGGAGACTCCAGGTAAGGGGCGGCGTGGATCCATCGTCAAAGAAAGACTTGGGCACGCTGGTGGTGGCCGGCACGTTGTAGGTGGTGCTGGTGAAGGATGTGGCCGATGCAATGTTTGGTGGCTGGCTGGTGTTGGCGAACCCGAGGGCGTATGCATCGCTCCTCTTCCGCCGAGCGGGAGAAGTACCATTCATAGAGTCCATTGACGTTGACGGAGAGAGGGCGGCGCTAAATGAACCTCGAATACGAGGCTGGATAGAGCATTAGTTCCATGTACTTTCTTTCTTTCTGTTTGTTCATGGTCTAATGGACAGAATGTACTCACCATGGACCCTCTGGAAGCGAGCATCAGAGATTCGCCTTCAGCCTCTGAAGCTGAAGTCGCCGAGTCGTCGTCCTCATCCTGGGTCAGCCCACGCGCCATCATTTCTGGTGGCGGCCGCGTCTTTTCGGGCATGGCAACGTTCATACGGTCCCTAGGGCCCGTCTCGGCCGAGGACATGGGCGATTCTAGCGGCAGCTCCATGCTGCGATCGCCCGTCATCATGTTGTAGTAGAAGAGGCGGCCATCTGGCGTAGCCTGCGGAATCCAAAAGTCGGCGCGAGACTTGTCGCCGCCCATGTCGGTGCCTTCGAGCGGCAGGCTGCCAAAGCCTTCACCCTCGGAATCCTCGTCTTGGTCGGCACTGTCTTCGTACATGTCGTTTTCCTCCATTTCGTCCTCCAAGTGGTGGTTGGCATGGCCGTTTTGGCCCATGTCGGGAAACTCGTCGGAGCTGGTGATGGCCTGGCAATAATTGCTGGGGAACCAGCCGCGGACTCCATTGATGACGCCGTCCCACCAGCCGCTCTCAAGCTGGGTGATGACCTGGATGATGTCGCCCTCGTGGAAGCTGAGACTGGTCCTGTCGTCGGCCTCGTAGTCGTAGAGAGCACGGACGTACATGCTGCCGGGCGGCGCAGTTCCCACGACGCCGTCCATGGTTTTTGGCGCGCGCGTGTGGGGGAAGAGCTAGA